CATCAACACCTCCCTACACTACCATCATTAACACCTCCCTACACTACCACTATCAACACCTCCCTACTCTACCACCATCAACACCTCCCTACACTACCACCATCAACACCTCCCTACACTACCACCATCAACATCTCCCTACACTACCACCATCAACACCTCCCTACACTACCACCATCAACACCATCAACACCATCAACACCTCCCTACACTACCACCATCAACACCATCAACACCTCCCTACACTACCACCATCAACACCATCAACACCATCAACACCTCCCTACACTACCACCATCAACACCATCAACACCTCCCTACACTACCACCATCAACACCTCCCTACACTACCACAATCAACACCTCCCTACACTACCACCATCAACATCTCCCTACACTACCACCATCAACATCTCCCTACACTACCACCATCAACATCTCCCTACACTACCACCATCAACACCTCCCTACACTACCACCATCAACACCATCAACATCTCCCTACACTACCACCATCAACATCTCCCTACACTACCACCATCAACACCTCCCTACACTACCACCATCAACACCTCCCTACACTACCACCATCAACATCTCCCTACACTACCACCATCAACACCTCCCTACACTACCACCATCAACACCTCCCTACACTACCACCATCAACATCTCCCTACACTACCACCATCAACATCTCCCTACACTACCATCATTAACACCTCCCTACACTACCACCATCAACACCTCCCTACAATACCATCATCAACACCATCAACACCTCCCTACACTACCACCATCAACACCTCCCTACACTACCACCATCAACATCTCCCTACACTACCACCATCAACACCTCCCTACACTACCATCATCAACACCATCAACACCTCCCTGCACTACCACCATCAACACCATCAACATCTCCCTACACTACCACCATCAACACCTCCCTACACTACCACCATCAACATCTCCCTACACTACCACCATCAACATCTCCCTACACTACCATCATTAACACCTCCCTACACTACCACCATCAACACCTCCCTACTCTACCACCATCAACACCTCCCTACACTACCACCATCAACATCTCCCTACACTACCACCATCAACACCTCCCTACACTACCACCATCAACACCTCCCTACACTACCACCATCAACACCTCCCTACACTACCACCATCAACACCTCCCTGCACTACCACCATCAACATCTCCCTACTACACTACCACAATCAACATCTCCCTACACTACCACCATCAACATCTCCCTACACTACCACCATCAACACCTCCCTACACTACCACCATCAACACCTCCCTACACTACCACCATCAACATCTCCCTACACTACCACCATCAACACCTCCCTACACTACCACCATCAACACCTCCCTACACTACCACCATCAACACCTCCCTACACTACCACCATCAACACCTCCCTACACTACCACCATCATCACCTCCCTACACTACCACCATCACTAAGAACAGATCGCTGTGCCAGGTACTTCAGAGGTGGAATGTTTTTTTTAATTATTTATTCCTCAGTGCTATCTGCTGGGGTGTTTGGGTTCAGACAGATGGCATCAGTGACTGGCTCAGCCAGACAAGACTTATTTCTTAATGAACTCCTGTCTGCTCAGCGGGGGGGGGCACAGATGCCCCATGGTCTGAAGCACATACATCGCGCTGTGCAGAGTTGTGTCCCTTAGCTGTGACTGAACTCACAGGCAGTGAGTTTGAACCCCAGGTATACTCTTACCACTGTCATTTTTCTCTGCAGTTCCTCGTGGATTTAACCAAAGCAGTAAATATTTACAACATTCATCAATTTAATCTTCCTCGACATTAAGCTGATATCTGTGCGGTAACTGAAATACAGTTTTCTTCTATATTAAACACTAAAGGGAGACTATTCTGAGATGCTGTGAAAAACGCAAAATCAACTTTAACTCATAATCAGAAAGAAATTGTTTTTGTGCAGACCATCTCAAAACACATTGAATAAGATTCGAACTCGTACAACGATTTTGTTGTGTTTGATTATTTCATGCCTAAATACCCGGAAAATATGTGTTCATAGTGTCTCAGTGTATGATTAAAGGTCAGCGTCCTTATCTAGCCCAGGTCTTCATGCACCATGCTGAAAATGTGACATGAACATTCTGTCATCAGGATCTTCAATAATTGCAAGATTAATTTAGAAATGGAAGTTAGCAGGTTAAGAAGTATTTTAATAAGGATTTTAACCAACAATGCTAGAACTGCCCAGTCCTGGGTCTAGCCTCACTATAAATGCCATTTTCACGTCATTTCGTCAGTAAATTACAGATAAATAAAAAAATATATATATATATATTATTCAAGGAAAACATTATGACATTAAGATATTTATTTGAATAAGATATTGATTACTTAACAGAATAATAATTTTCAGAACTTGATTGATCAGTTCCACGATTCAGATTCATATGAATGTATACAACTCAAAAGAAGTTAAAGAACACCGATTCTTTCATATTTCTATAGTTATTCTGTCATGGAATGACAGATTCTTTAATTTTTTTGAGCCGTGACAGATAGCCGATAGAAATATGAAAGAATTGAGTGTTGTTTAACTTGGGAGTAGTTTACATACACGGCCTGTAAGGATCTGTTACCTGAGGGTGAGCCTCCTTGATGGATACATAAACAATACCAGTGTTTGTGAAGCACTGATCTCTGTGACTGTTGGCGGAGTGACCTACCCTATCTGCTGGCACTGACCTACTTTAGCAACACTGACACAGAATAGAGCTGTGGGGTTAATTATCACATGTTAATGGAGCAAAGGTGGCCCAGTTGTCCAAGGCTTGTCAGAAACTGATAATCATGGGTTTGAATCCCAAATTCACCCTGATTGTGTTTCTTGGTTTGTTAACATAGTATTGTTGTGGGTTTCGCCACGGTGGTGTACGTGTATGACCTACATGGTCATGCTTTCCTCTCACATCAGACTACGGTAACACTGATATAGCTACAATCCTGAGAGGGATTCAGCCAAACACACTCACTATCACATATTAACTGACCTGTGATACTATTTATAAAAGACTGCTTGCATTACTTCTCATTCGTGGCAAAAAAATTGAATTTTGTTTCACAAAACCAAAATAATACTCAAACCAGGTAAAATGGACTTGACCTTTGACTTTATTTGTTGCCCTGTGGTCTAAGGTGCTTCATCTCTCTGTGCAGAGTTACATCCCTTGGCCATGCAAGGATCCAAAGGTTCTGGGTTGAATTCCCAGATTCTTTACCATTACCACTGCTCAAGGGATTAACCGAAGTAAAGCTCTACAGCCCTTATCCCACATGAAGCTAAGATGCTGAAATGACTTCTCCATTTTGAAAATAACACGTGGCAGTCTTTCAAGGCGACACAATACACTGTGCTGAGTTGCATGTCAGAATCCTAGGATTGTGAGATACAACTACCTATATTCTGTTCCTAGGATTGTCGGGGGGCACGGGTGGCCCAGTCATCTAAGGCGCCAAGATTTGCTGTGCAGAGTTGAGTCCCTGGGGCAGGCCAGAAACCTATGATTGTGGTTTTAAATTCCGGTTCACCCTGATTATGTTTCGTGGGTTTCACCGAAGTGGTAAACATCTGAGACCTGCATCACTTCTGGCTTTCCTCCCACTTTAAGCTGACACGCCGTGATATAACTGGAATGCTGTTAAAAGCAGCGTTAATCCCAACTCACTCACTCACTCACTCACTCACTCACTCACTCACTCACTCACTCACTCACTCACTCACTCACTCACTCACTCACTCACTCACTCACTCACTCACTCACTCACTCACTCACTCACTCACTCACTCACTCACTCACTCACTCACTCACTCACTCACTCACTCACTCACTCACTCACTCACTCACTCACTCACTCACTCACTCACTCACTCACTCACTCACTCACTCACTCACTCACTCACTCACTCACTCACTCACTCACTCACTCACTCACTCACTCACTCACTCACTCACTCACTCACTCACTCACTCACTCACTCACTCACTCACTCACTCACTCACTCACTCACTCACTCACTCACTCACTCACTCACTCACTCACTCACTCACTCACTCACTCACTCACTCACTCACTCACTCACTCACTCACTCACTCACTCACTCACTCACTCACTCACTCACTCACTCACTCACTCACTCACTCACTCACTCACTCACTCACTCACTCACTCACTCACTCACTCACTCACTCACTCACTCACTCACTCACTCACTCACTCACTCACTCACTCACTCACTCACTCCTAGGATTGTCAGCACCATACACCTGCACAGGGAGAAAGTGGAAAACCTGATTCTATCATATTACTATAGTTAATCCATCATGCCAGAACTATAGAAATATGAAAGAAAACTGTGTTCTTTAACTTCTTTTTAGTGGTATATGAGCCACTGGTTTATATTTGTTGGAGACACAGTTATCTTTAAGCAGCAGCCATGTTGTAGATGGAATATTACGACTGTTCATTAAACTAACAAAAGAAACAAACAAAACATCACACTACACATCTGCTGTTATCGTTATTCAGTCTAATGCATAATTATATTATTTTTTATTTTTTATTATTGTTGTTGTCGTCGTCGTCGTCGTCGTCATTATTATTATTATTATTATTATTATTATTATTATTATTAAGTAATAAAATAATAATAACAACAATAACAACAACAACATCAACAACAGTCTTTTATTAAGTGTGAAGTCATTGTATTCCAAGATCAAACTCTTGAATTCCCAAATTACCATCTTCACTATCAAGGGCCTCCATTCTTAGCATATCAACACCTCTATTGGTATTGGCACAATTTGTCACAGGTAACACTCTCACCTGTAATCAAAGTGGGTGAGCCTGCTCGATTAGGCAGGTAAGTAAGTGGAATGAGAACTTTGATCACAACTTATGCAGTAACAGGCCAGCGTAGCTAATTTGTCAACCGAGTGTAAAGTCTGGCCGTGGTAATACCTCTTAAACATTTCATGAAACTACGGGATACAAGATCATCGCACTGTAGCCCCCCCCCGCTTTCTCTCACCTGTTCGTTGCCAAGCAACAAATCATCAGGTGTCTACAACAAGAGGGTCTCAAGGGTCCACCACAGTCAGGCTATCGGCACTCGGGGATATCAGGTGTAGACAGATTGCTTGGATATGGTTCACTGACAAACAGAGTGACTTTAAATCTTACTATAGTCTGTGTAGCTGCTTGCTTGTGCCCTGCTGTCAATTGAGGTTGATATTGCATTTGCAACAACTGTGGATTTTGTAGAGATTTAACCTAGGTTTGCCATAGAACTATACCAGCAGCCATGCAGGACATCAGACGTGCTAGGACCATGTACGACATGTACGCTGAGTAAGTACATTATTCATTTTCCTATATGATATATCATTTATGAAGTGTTAACATTGTGTTAACTTTTCCTATACACTATTTATTTTCCTATATGATATATCATTTATGAAGTGTTAACATTGTGTTAACTTTTCCTATACACTATTTATTTTCCTATATGGTATATCATTTATGAAGTGTTAACATTGTGTTAACTTTTCCTATACACTATTTATTTTCCTATATGGTATATCATTTATGAAGTGTTAACATTGTGTTAACTTTTCCTATACACTATTTATTTTCCTATATGGTATATCATTTATGAAGTGTTAACATTGTGTTAACTTTTCCTATACACTATTTATTTTCCTATATGGTATATCATTTATGAAGTGTTAACATTGTGTTAACTTTTCCTATACACTATTTATTTTCCTATATGGTATATCATTTATGAAGTGTTAACATTGTGTTAACTTTTCCTGTACACTATTTATTTTCTTGTAGGGAATATGAATTATAGTGTTAACATTGTGTTAACGTTTCCTATAAACTATATATTTTCTTGTAGGTAAATCATTCATAAAGTGGTAACATTGCGTTAACTGTTCCTATACAATATATATTTTCTTGTAGGTAAATCATTCATAAAGTGTCAACATTGTGTTAACTAATCCTGTACACTATATATTTTCTTGTAGGTATATCATTCATAAAGTGTCAACATTGTGTTAGCTGTTCCTGTACACTTAAAAGGAAGACTACATGCTTTTAAGTCTGGTGCCAGTTTACTGCTTAGATCAAAACATTGTAATTAATACCTTTTCCAAAACATAGACATTGTCTCTTTATAATTAGTGTTATCATTAATTGCTAAATTGGTATTCAGGTTAAAATTTGAACATTAGACCAAGAAACTATTATTCAAGGGGCATGCATCACTTTGGCCAAGTCAAGTTCCCCTTTAAGTGAATAAATCGTGGCAAGCTCACTGCAAACTCCATATCATCTGTTGTATGTTTATAGTGTTTCTTGTATGGATCCTACAACGGCAATGCCTAAGAGTATGAATTATACATTGGTTCTCATATACGTAGGGCTGCTTAGTTAAATAGCTCTTGACCGTGTTGGTGGTTTATCCTATAAAACTGCATGTAACGGACTCTTAAGTTGAGTTTTTTCTGTTCAAATGATAAATAATGTGGAAAAATGAGATATGTCTTTTTATGATTTTGCTGTCAGTGCATGTTTAACATAACCATAGTGTTTGTATAATTATTGTGCTGATAAACTGTTCATATTTAGTAAATTTGTGTACAAGTCTGGCCTCTGTAATGATTTCCATAATAAAATAAAATTGCAATAAAACATAAGAAAACATTGATTGAAATGAAGAGAATAATTCCATTATGACAGTACTTAAGAAATTGTATCTTATCACTGTCATTGATGACATACATGCAACATACAAAGTTCGTTCTGAGTTCACACCAATATTATATTCAACAACAACTGGTGTCACCCCAAGAAATAAGTTATCACCCCCACAGAAACCCCCTCATAGAACCCTGCAATAAATCAAATACATATGTCTCCCTATTCATCAATATACAAATTATCTATTGACTTTCCTTCAAGCATGAAACTCCTGTGGCGTACAGAACAGAGCGGGGTACGCTCACTTCTATGAGCGTACAGGGGCACTGTATGTTGCCTTTGTATGCAGGCAGGGGTGGCATTGTACCCTGCATGCCACATTGAATAAGTCATGATATCATGTAGTTCGTTTACACCTCAACTCATATATTATTACATATTTCATTGATCTCCGAGAGGCCTGCAAAAGAGGGTATTTCTCATAGACGGACTAAGTCCATTACTCAACCATAAAGCACACTCAGGCAAAAAGGCTTAGTATTTAATTATCTCTAATCATTTTTTATCCATGTTGGGTTGAAGTCGGTTGTATGTATGACTTAAGAATTGATCTCTTTTGAAAGCATTTGATAAATGGTATGGTTTTATAGCAGAGCTTTATTGAACTGTTGGTGTAAAATTATTTATATTATGTTTTATTTATTTGAAGTTTATAGTGATTTATGGCTGTGTAGATTTATTAAACTTTAAGTTATATTAGTTTTACTTCAAGATATGGTAGATAATAAATGGAGCCTTTTTGATTTGACATGAATTTTTTCCATAGTATTTCAAAGGCACACCTTTAAAGAAAATTCCTAACCTGTATAATAATGTTTTATATTACACTATGAGTTTAGATGGCGTGATAAGATGTCCGCCGTGCAATAAGTTCCATTTTATGAGCAACTGTGAAGAACTGTTGAAGAAATTTAGAAAAGCCATTTCTATGTGTTCTGTTTTAATCAGTTATTCTCACGCAACTTTTCAGCTATTGGTATTATTTACCTAAGCTCTTGTCTTTCAAGTCACGATATGGCTGAAATATTGCTGATGTGACTTTAAATATTAACTCACTCACTCTTTTAAGATAAATGAAGATAATATGAAAGAACCTTTTTGATTTGATATAAGTTCATCCACCATGTCACCTGAATATGAGAATGCATTTTATTTTATGCCTATGTTCAATTTTTTAAAACTATGATTAACTTATATTCAGAGAATAGGTTTGGAAAGAAAAGTCTATCAACATCGTATTTGTGTTTTTCTTAACTACATAAGAACAAAATAACTATTATTGATTTAATAAAAGAATTTAAATTATTTTGTATTTATTTTACGATTGTGGCTTTGGACTCTTTGACAAATCTATAAATCGAAAAATAAAGAAAGTGTCACGAAAGGAACACTCAGGGCAACTAAACCCTGTCTATTGCCTGAGGGCGGTCGGGTAGCCTAATGGTTAAAGCGTTCGCTCGTCACGCCGAAGACCCGGGTTCGATTCCCGACATGGGTACAATGTGTGAAGCCCATTTCTGGTGTTCCCCGCCGTGATATTGCTGGAATATTGCTAAAAGCGGCGTAAAACCATACTCAGTCAGTCAGTCAGTGTCTATTGCCTGAGTCAAGGGAGAATAAGCCCCTGGTGTTCCATGCTTGTTGTAAGAGTCGACTAAAATGGGGATCCGGTGGTCGTAACGTGGGACCTGGCTAATTGTGTGTCAGCCCTATGTGAGAGGGAATAACCTTGGCAGTTGAAACATGACTTATACAGGGAATATTCAATAACATTCATGATGGAACACTTCCAGGTGGGAAATCTCATTAGGTTAGGAATCTGGTCAAATATGTTCACACTGAGTAGAGTGTGTGCATGCATAATGTAGCCATCTTTGGGATTGTATTTGTGGTTGCCTACCTACCAAGTTGTGTTCAGAATTTCATTGGATGGTATTTGATCATCATCAGTTTTCCTGTGTTTTATCTCCATTTTTATGTTATTAATACCCGGACACATTCGCTACCTTTAAAATGATACCTTGTTTTGAGCCCAATTTGTATGGCACTTATGCTGAAAATACCCATCCAAACCCAGGGCAGATCCAGCATTTTGAAAAGGGAGAGGTCCAAAATATCAAAATCCTCTCTCAGATCATTTTGCTGCCTACAACATACAACTTTTGGTTTTCAAAAGGGAGGGTCCAGACGCCCTGGACCCCCTCTGGATCCGTCTATGCAATCAAATTCTGGGCTAAGCTAGAGACAAGAGCGATCCGAAATGAAGATATGGTCGTGAATGAGTCCAGGGTATTTATCTTGATGGAATGGAGATATAATACCCTGGAGAACAGAGGATGGTTATTTTTTTATGAACGATTAGCTTGGGTCAGTCAGAATAAAATTCTAAATAAATGTGTGTAGTTCAATATAGCTTATTCGGCATAATATTGTTTGATTCAGTCCGTTTAGAAGGAAAAAATAAATGCTGACATTGTTATAATTTACATACAGGATGTTTAGTATTTCTACGGTGACATTTATTTACTACAAGAAGGTTTACTTATCTTCATAAGAGGTTTGCAGAGACCAGTGACTACATACAGTGCATTTGATCAATTATTATATAAAAAGTTGTTTACAAGTTATGTAGTTTTATGGGGTTTTTTCTAATCTATCAGATGGAACAGTTTAGCAAATAAAAATAAGGAAATTTTTGTTTTATTTTATGATGTAATGCTCCAGTCTTTGAAATCCATAAACCGAAAACATTTGGCATCAATGTTTCTGATATGCTCATACATGCAGAAGGATAGTATTGTACCGAACACACTTCATACAAACACAGGTTACATGAAGAGTAATAGTATTGATTAGACTATTCACATGTAAATGTGAAGATACATTATGCATACAAGCTGACATTTATCTTGTTACAAAATACCTGTTCACAAAGAGGCTGATGATCTTACAGTCGCTGGCTGACACAACAGTGTCTTCCATGATGCATGTACAACATGGGACTTGTCTCAACACCCTACAGAATAAATTTAAAAAACTCAACTCAAGTCTAGAATGATTTGGCAAGTCTAGATTACCTCAGCTCTGAAATAAGGCATTCTGGGCTCCATTTGAATTTTCTTCTTAGATTTGTAGATGTACAAATAACAGGACTTTATCTAGTTGGGGAGGGGGGTGGGTGGGTTGGGTGAGATCTCTTGTCCATGCAAGAGTCGCCTCCCTTATTGTCATCAATACCAAAGCTATGAATTATGATGAAAATAGGGTCATTATATTCTCAATAAACAATGAATCTGAATCTTTTATAGATTAATGTTAGTCTGTTCATCAAATTAGATCAATTTGACCTCAGATGGGAAAATATGTATAAATTCTTTTATATCATTCTCTATTTTATCCATTTCAAAATAATAATTAATTACAACAGATAGCAGCTAATGTTGCCGCGTCTCCTGTCATGCAAACTTGTTCACCACAAACAATAGTTTAAACAGCATCACAAGCTTAGCTATTGAAATGGAGAGAAAGGTATATGTTCACACAGAGACCATATAATAATCTATTAACAATAGGTTAAACAGCATCACAAGCTTAGCTATTGAAATTGAGAGACTGGTATATGTTCACACATATAATAATCTATTATATGGTCTCTGGTTCAGATAACATTTTGAACAACAACAAAATCTGAAAAGCCTTTTATTATTTTTAGTTTTTGTTCACCTATGAAGCAGCATTAAATATAAAATATATAAACTAAGAGATAAAAAAGGTGGCCATTTTTCCCCACCCTTGTACAAGATTGTAACAAGTTGTCCTGTGTCATTGTTTATGGTGTATGGTCAACAATGTACTCAAACAACCCACGCCTACAATATACACCCTAACAAAACACTTATCACCGTATGAAGACATAACGTCATCCTGGAGTAGTAATTCATTCATCAAGTGTCACAAGCTAATAAACCTCTTTTTCCAAGATTTGTATATATATCACTCCCAGCACCCTGGTGTATGACATGAGAAGGCCCACAAGATGGCCGTGTCAGTGTCATGAGGACAACACAATATACTTGTTTCTGGTAACTCTTCCCATCCATCATTTCATCATAGTCATCAAGGAAGCTCAAGAAGCCTGATAACAATAATATAACAGGCCCATTTAATTACCTATGTGGTCACTTATGATTGAATTTCTCCCAAGAACGCTCAATAATTCCATGATAACAAAATATAAGGACAGATCAACGTAATAACTTGTTAAACATAATTATTAAATTTAATCACTTATTTTTCTATATTTTAAAATGTTATTATTATTTCTATTTAGTTTCTTCCTGTCTTCAGAAAGTTAGGGTATAGAAATAATTTTCACTACTAATTAGATTGGTCTGGATTAAGACTTGTGTACCTACCTACCAACCAACAAAGCAACTTTGGTATTTTGTCTGAAACACAAGTGTTTTTGGCCTAAGTATTTTCTAAACTATTTATGCTAGTAACAGCCTTTTACTGTCAAACATGGTTTCAGGTTGTGGAAGTGGCCCCCTCCACACTGACTGTGATTGAAAATCAACATTATTGACATCTTTTTCTGAAGAAAATAGACAGTGTGGTTATCAACATCTCAAATTTAGGACTAAAATTCATGATGTTTGCCTGAATAATGCATTACTTTATTGTATTACTAAAAACATATTTTTAACAATTTTGTCCTAAAAAGATTACAAATATATTTGTTTTAAACAGAAAAATTAAAATATAGATATTGAATGGATGATGATAATGATAATGATGTCTTTGGTACGTTACAAATCTATTAAAGTAAACAAAACATGATTCTAATGTACAACGTTACATCATTTGGCCTAGAGCTGTAAAATCTCAATTTCCAATGCAACTTAAAACTAAATTGATTTTTTTTTATTTTACCATGTGACAGTCATTACAAATAAAAGTATATATTAGGCAGAGGAATTTAAGGGGCAAATGATGATAAACAAGACATTTATTTTAACAAGTATGACAAGACTGTTACTTCTAGACACAGGTAACTTTGATTGTCATTTTGCTGGTCACGTTTCCATGACAACTTTGTTTTTTGTACAGGAAACCCGGCGGTGGAGCTATCGAGCCTCTCCCAGAAATCCCCACGGCCTCCAAGCCTGAGTAATTGTCTCCCTTTGTCCTCACTTTCAGCACCAAGTGTGATGTGTCCACCTTTGATGTATCATATGCATGTCATAGGGACCGACCATTTTATATCCAGGGGGGCCTGGGGGTATTCCTTTTCACAAAAAGGTTTCACTGGACAAAAATGTGTTGTGAACAAAAAGTAATATTGGGGGTCCTTTCTGTCAGACTTCCACCCGTATCCCCCCTCAAAAATATAAAAAATTACAAGGATTGAGCAACAATGCATACACTGTATCCCCCCTCAAAAATATAAAGAATTAAATGGATTGAGCAACAATGCATACATATATAACTTTTGGAAATCTTTCTGTCCTTTCAGAGAAGTAAATGTTCTGTTTTGAAGCAGTAACTAAAAACATATTCCTGTAACAAAACTCCCAATCCCCCTCTGCAAAAATGAACCCAACCCCCCACCCCTCCTGGAACATACAATGGTCCGGTCCTTACATCCTCATTTTACATATAGGGTATAATTTTATGTATAAAACATATGGGCTATATCATTACATATGCATATACAGTAAAACCCTGTTAATCCAGACAGGGTTGTTAAATGTGAAATTGTCCAAATTATTATTATTTCTGGATTTATGAATATTTGGTCACCAAAAATATTCTGTGACAATATATAGACAACAATAATCATCAAGATGATGGGTTTCTCAGATTAACAAGGTTTCTTGGTATTTGCATCCTTCTTTCAAGCTGCATGTTATTGACTTCTATATATCACATGAATGTTGATATTCCATACACAAAGCATGATACGCCACAATGTATAAACCTTCAGTGTATGCATGACCAGATCACTTTATATGTGTATCTGAATACATTTTGCCATGGCTACGGTCAAACTATTCTCAATCGGACATTTTGTACCCAACTTTGAGGCCTATAGCAGGTACCTGGGTAGGGTCAGGTAGTAGGGGGTCGGGTACCCGGGTAGTAGATTTGACTCGTCCCAGCCCTAAATTGTATTTATGTGATGTCACACACATTGTCACAGGCACTAATTATGCATGTGCATGTTTTGTTGTTGTTACATGTGATATAACACTTGTCTCACTGGAATATAGATCATGTGTTTTTTAATTTTCAGATTGTATGAATATGATTAATTGTACTAACCGATTATCATGCTTACATCTTATAAAACATATCCACATACCTAAAAATGTACTTGTACATCTTCCCGAGGCATTGGCCTAGCTGACTGTAAATGTCCAGTTTCCACCCTTGCCGAACTAGGCTGGAATTTCCAGGCTCAATCGTAGCGCCACCAGTTGCTATTACGAGTTATGTCCCATCTATGTCCCTCCTATTGACCAATTAGATTTCATCTCTCACATCACTTACATTTGCTAAAAAATAATGGCAGCGCCCAATCAAGACGATTTGATCGATAATCAAGATCCATATTGTTGTAAAACGGGTCTTATTTCACTAAGTGCATCAAATCACTTGAGCACCTTGATTGAAAACATGAAAACATTTGGAAAATGTTGGTCGACGCCCAGTTGACGGTGCACATGCTATGCAAATCCTGCAGTTAACTGTTAACCGAAATCTGCACGGCAGTTTACAAACTGGATGTCTAGTTCGTAACGCAATTTCGATTGGACAATACATAGACTCGTTAGTCCAGCCAAAATGTAACTCCATAATACCAGCCTAGTTCGGCAAGGGTGGAAACTGGACTTTTATAGTCAGTTAACTCCCTTGCCTCAGGAAGATGGTGCTTATAGTTAATTTTAATATATGAGGTATTTGTCCAATATAGCTAAGATTAAGATTCTGTAAAGATGTGTGAGCGAGATGGAGTTTCATGCTTTTTGAACAATATTAGTTTTATAACATCATTTGTTTTTACTGATATATGTATATAACCTTGGTGCTGTTGTACAAAGCGATCTTAGCGCTAAGGTGATCGTAACTCCCATACCTTAACATAGACTTACGTCAGTCGTAGCGCTTAGGTCGTTTTGTACGGCACCTGGATAATTCAACAACAAGTTGACCCAACCAATGCCATCTGGTCTGTGACCACAGATCTGGGTAGTTCCAATGGGGATTGGGGGGCACAGGTGGTCCAGTCGTCTTAGGCGCCGCGATTCGCTGTGCAGAGTTGCGTCCCTTGGCACGCCAGAAACCTATGATTGTGGTTTCCAATCCCAGTTCGCCCCGATTATGTTTCTAGGTTTGTCAGCACCATACCCGTGCTCGTGGGTTTCACTGAAGTGGTAAACGTCTGAGACCTGCATCACTTTGGGCTTTCCTCCCACTTTAAGCTGACACGCCGCGATGTAACTGGAATACTGTTAAAAGCTGCGTTAAACCCAACTCACTCACTCACTCACTTCATGGTCAGGTGACTTGGTTGCGTGTGTGTCAGCGTACCCTCACAGAATGGATTGTTTATAATAATAATTGGGGCGGTCGGGTAGCCTAGTTGTTAAAGCGTTCGCTCGTCACGCCGAAGACCCGGGTTCGATTCCCGACATGGGTACAATGTGTGAAGCCCATTTCTGGTGTCCCCCGCCGTGATATTGCTGGAATATTGCTAAAAGCGGCGTAAAACCATACTCGCTCACTCACTCACTATAATAATAATTACTCGATTGTCAGGTCCAGACTCGACTATTTTCAGCCTGCTGACATATTGCTGAGTGCAGCATTAAACAACAAACAAACAAACGGGCAAATTCTTTTTATTCCCCCTGGTGCCAAGGTAACAACACGTCTATCTACCTGTGCTAATTATTTCACCTGTCTTTCTGCGGTGCTTCAGTGAGGATGTATTGATTGAAAAAACATAAGATATTGTCCGTCTTCAAATGTTAAACTTTTTCACAAAGTAGACCTAGCTCTAAGGAAATCACTTAGCAAAACTGGTTACAGATCAATATTGACAGCTGAGGTTAGAAAGCACATCTGAACAAATTGAGCAATAGGGGAAAAAATATTATTGGAAAAAAACACAAAATTAAATGTAAAGATAATATATGCGCTAGAGTATTGACATATTAATAGTAACATAACAAATGTTTTCATATTAAACAAATATTAAGCACTGTAAGTGATTTCATTTTAGATAACCATATGAAATCATTTCAATATACATATATGTAAATATATACATACAACACGTAGCATTCATTTCTTACAAGGCGCCTTTCAGGACTAACGTGTCTTAACGTGATAACTGATTCTTTGCATATTCACTTTGAAATACTTTATAGACCTCCTACTCGCCAGAGGCAGTCGGGTAGCCTAGTGGTTAAAGCGTTTGTTCATCACACCAATGACCCGGGTTCGATTCCCCACATGGGTACAATGTGTGAGGCCCATTTCGGGTGTCCCCTGCCATGATATTGCTGGAATATTGTTAAAAGCGGCATAAAACGATACTCATTCACTCCTCCTCGCCAGCCTCAATATAGGTAAACATCTTATTTGTCAAACAAAGCAATTTCATACACAAATAAACTATTGTATGTCATCAATTCATAAGGATAATTCTTGAATTAAGACATAAAACTTTGTAGACATTATCGTATCGTATCTACATCATTTATCAAATGAAATAGGGGCGGTCAGGTAGCCTAGTGGTTGAAGTGTTCGCTCGCCACGCCTAAGACCCGGGTTTGATTCCCGATATGGGCACAATGTGTGAAGTCCATTTCTGATGTCCCCCGCCGTGATATTGCTGGAATATTGCTAAAAGCGGCGTAAAACCATACTCACTCACTCACTCAAATGAAATAAATTGATATATATACCCTATTATATATTAATAAAGCTAGTAATTTATCCACTTACTCATGGTAAGAAATTAGGGAGGCATGAACACAAGCCAGTTGACATTGATTAGTAGCTTATTACTTATGTGTAAATTGATTAGCGATAGAGGAAACCTTCCAAGCAAAACGTTGATAATTAGAATGCTGCAAGGAGTTTACTCAGTGACATCCCTAGTGTACTCAGTACAAGTGGTGTGAAGAGTTTCTGGCTAAACCTGCTACGAGCCATCACGAACCTGTTCAAGTAAAGACAGGTCTGTAGAGTGTCACTATTCTACCACTTTGTTTGAATTGCATATTTCAGCGATATTACTTTTAACGAAGATTTTGTGTCACATTTATAATTTTTTATCTAGACTTTGACAACAACAACAAAAAAGTTAAGTTGCATTATTCATTTTGTGTATTTTCAGTTTTGTTTCACCTATGGAATATTTTGGAATATGAATTGCAGATATGAATATCATAATTCCTGTTTGACATCAGCGGAGCAAAGTCCAGGTTTGGTGGATAGAACCACGGACCTATATAACAAGTTATACAAGTCCGTGATAGAACACATCAATTTTATGAATACCCGACTAGGCTGGTGTGTTCACATCCCTGAAGATCTTATTTCAGTTTAGAAAAACTCCATTATTTTATTACTTATAATTATCTTTATCAATAAGACACAAATTTCACTCAAGTGATGAATGAGTGTTTGATGAATGGGTTACGTGACAGTTCATGATCAGTTACCATGGTTACCTTAGGTGAATGATCAGGAACTTATCATACCAACTGTCTGAGAGCATGGTAAGTGAGGAAGTTTTAGAACCATTTATCTGACACCATTAAAGCTTACAGGATGAAGACGTGGGATTCCATGCCGTTCTTTTCTTCACTTGGAGAGCTTTAGAATAGCACAGTGCTATCTTCATATCATTGATTGTATGACTTTTTAGTTGTCAACCTTAATGTCATAATTAAAACACTTGTGTTTTAGCACAGTACTTTCAACAAGTCCTGAAATTATTATTTGAGTGTCAAAACAACTAGAATTATGTCAAATCATTATGACTACAATGACAGCTCTGTAATTCTTCAGGGTACACGGGTGGCCCAGTCGTCTAAGGCGCCGCAATTCGCTGTGCAGAGTCGCGTCCCTTGGGCACGCCAGAAACCTATGATTGTGGGTTCGAATCCCGGTTCGCCCCGATTACATTTCTAGGTTTGTCAGCACCATACCCGTGCTCGTGGGTTTCACCGAAGTGGTAAACGTCTGAGACCTGCATCACTTCGGTCTTTCCTCCCACATTAAGCTGACACACCGTGATATAACTGGAATACTGTTAAAAGCGGCGTTAAACCCAACTCACTCACTCACTGTAATTCTTCACTTCCAGTATGCCAGTCGAGGACTACTTTGGGCGTATGGGCACCATCCACCCCCTGGCCGGGAGTCAGACAGCCAGGTACCGCTCCTCTTCACCGGGAGGCCACAAACCCCGCCCCCGTACCCGTGGCTCCCTCTCCGCCAGATCCTCTTCGTTTGACGTAGGTATACAGGTGAGTTATTGTTATTGGGTAGGAGGGGCACTGATATCAAGATGCACCTATACAGATCTACAGACAGACATAACGCCAAATCATCGAGGACTATTCCACTACCTCCTTGGCTCCCCAACAAGCTTCCATGGCAACAAGGGGCGGTCGGGTAGCCTAGTGGGTAAAGGGTTCCCTCGTCACGCCGGAGACCCGGGTTCGATTCCTGACATAAGTACAATGTGTGAAGCCCATTTCTGGTGTCCCCCGCTTTGATATTGCTGGAATATTGCTAACAGCGGCGTAAAACCATACTCATTAACTCCATAGCAACAAAGGGTCATATAATGCATTGATGTATTGGGTACTCCAGGCAAACCCCAGTTGTGTGTTTCATAGTAACATTATGACAGTAAACTGCAATATAAGGTCGGTTAAAAAAGGTTTGTGTTTCTCATGACTTTTTATATAATGACTGGGTATGGAGGGGAATTTTATTTTTCCTTTTATTTTTTTATTTGATTCAAATCTATAAAAGTTAACTTGATACTTGACCTCATTTGGTCACGCCCCCTGCCACTCAAAATATGCAGATACCGCCATGGCTAGATTCCCCTGCAAATTTGAAACACTATGAAAGTCATGGTGTATTGTAGAAGTTGGAATATGGTAAAGAAATGAAATTTAAGTAGCGAAAAAACGTTTCTTAACCGTGCTTACAAACAAAAAAATATGGGCAAATTTAGGACAGGTGGATCATGAAAAACAAAGAATTATTTCAACAAGTCTAAAATGTCTGCTTATTAACCCACACCCTAAACACACAGCCATTAAGAAGACACCAAGTGTTTCTCTACTGACTCATTAACACATGTATATCGTACATTAAATACACAGGACTGGGAGTAACTAAGGACAGATGACTACACACAGCTTACTGAATGGTTCCCTTTGCTGATCTGGCTATTTATAAATTATTGATTAGTGATTAGAGTAAATGTTTGATAAGATTTTACACCCAAGGTCAGGAGCCACCTGAGCGTGGTGGGTGTTGAGATCTAGAACCCAGTAACACCACAAATGAGTCATTCTAGTCTTTCGATGAGAAACGCATGAAGGGCTGTTTGTATGTCCCATTAGTATGTTAAGGCAGGACATTGATATGTTTATTATAATACAAATCTGTACTGAATTTATGAATCACATGAAAAAACAAAGCTTATTTTAACCTCTATTTGGCCCGTGAAGATCCGGGGTAGAATAGCTCTTCACCAACCCATGCTTGACGTAAAAGGCAACTATGCTTGTCGTAAGAGGCGACTAACGGGATCGGGTGGTCAGGCTTGCTGACTTGGTTGATGCATGTCATCGATCCCAATGGCGTGGATCGATGCTCGTGATGTCAATCACTGGATTGTCTTTTCCAGACTCGATTATTTACAGACCGATGTCATATAGGTGGAATATTGCTGAGTGGGGCGTTAAACAAGAAACAAACAAACAAACAAACCTCTATTTCTTAGCTGTTTTGTATAAAATGTTTCTAGGTTTGTCAGCACCATACCTGTGCTCATGGGTTTCACCGAAGTGGTAAACGTCTGAGACCTGCATCTCTTCGGGCTTTCCTCCCACATTAAGCTGACACACCGTGATATAACTGGAATACTGTTAAAAGCGGCGTTAAACCCAACCCAATCACCTTATTAATGGCCCCTGTCATGATGACAAACTACATGAAAAATATATGTAAAATCGAATAATAATTTGTTTGGCCTAAATTTGTAAACCTTTAACGACCAAGAAACAATTCATATTAATTGTCTATTCTAATTGGTCAATCTTCACGTTTCCTGATTGTAATGTTATGATTTGAAGAGTTTTGGTGTGATAAAATCTCTCAAGTAAACATTTTTTTCACAGATGAAGACTCTTTGCAAAAGAGAAGTTTATTTTCTTTTGTTTAACACTGTATATCACCATAGCTGCATGTTATAGAGAGAGCTACAAGCCAGCATATACTCTAGTGCATATAGAGCATGACTTAGGTAGTTGCTCACTATCATTTTTAAAAATTGTCATTGTCATGGTACTCAAAAGAAGTTAAAGAACACCCAATTTTTTCATATGACTATAGTTAATCTGCCATGCCAGGCCATGTTAACTATAGCCATATGAAAAAATTCAAGGGTTCCTTAACTTCTTTCCAGTAGTATAATACTCTGCAACATTTATCACATATTCATTATCCAGCATATTATATCTCCATTCTGATAAATGTCAACCAAACTGACTCAAACTGAAACTATGCTGGCAAATCGGTCCAAGGTATATACCGTATTCGACGTAATAAGCGCCCCCCTCTACTAAGCGCCCGTGATAATATTTGCTAATATATTGGCTAGTGAACAATCTCAATTAGCACCCCTTCCGATTGATCAATGTACACAAGACTTATTTATTCGCGTATAATACTCACTCATGAGTTATATGCACCCTTAATTAGGGGCAATTAAATTCGGGGAAAATATATCTGTCGTACATAAACATTTCAGGCTGTCAGCATATACCACAAAATTTATCTTTCAACTCTGTTTTTTTCATCAAAATAAAATTCTAATAAGAGCCCCCTATTTCTAATTTTGTGAGCGCCCTGGGCGCTTGTTACGTCGAATACAGTATATCTTTATTGAATGGAGGAATGACACTGGTAAATGAGGCTACATTTATCAGATAAGACAATGTGAATATATGAACTTATAACATGTCAGTGTTTAGAACCTAAAGATCAATTAAACCACATCTCTTTACATATAAACTGCTTGACAAAAACTGCATTAGCATTTGTCATCTGACTATTTAGTAATATTTAATAGTAATATCTATTACTACTTTTAATTCTAAAATAATGCACACAATTTCATTTAATCATTTCCTGAACAACATTCAACCGATCTAGATATTTAATCACGATTTTCGTGTAAATTTTACCATAGGTTTCTGTGAAAGTAGCAATGGCTTATCAGTAAACTGGTTTGGTAACTTGCCTAAACCAGTTCAGTTTTTAATTGTGTTTTCATCATATTCATGTGGTCACATGGGGACATTAGCATAATGAGAAAAAGAGTTGTGCTATTTGTCAGAATATGTTTTAAATATTTAACAGATATTAAAAAAATCATTTCTTCCCACAATCAATTTTAACATACAGTTGTCGATCAATAGTTCACAAGCATTTCTTTGTCTGCTGTTTTGAGATCTGACGATGATGAGACAATTAACTAGCTTAAACCTGTTTTATTTCATGGTTAACTGGTTCTATTTTTTAGACTGTAGCCTTTAGTCCCTATATGGATAATCAGCATTGGTTCATGTGTACTAGTAGTCATAGTCCTTGTGAGCAGTTCAAAAGTTTGATGACTTGAACAAATATTAATTCCTGGGGGTGGGGATTGATGTGGGGATGGGAGTGGGGGTGGGGGCTGACTTAAAAGGTTTTATATCTGACCATAAAAGTGACCATATCAAGTTAAACATCTCAAATCATATTTTTCCCTGAAAATGAACAGCTTCACTATCGTTGGTTATCGTTGAAATACAAGAAAGACCATGCCAGTTCAAAAGCCTTTCTTGATGTGTGGGCGTTGCTCGGAAATCTGCTATGGATTTAAAACATTTATGCAATGGTACTATCACTTTAGAGTTTTTCTTTTGAAAAATATCAACATTAAGTTTGAGGGTGTGTGTGGATATGTTCAAAACTTAAGGACATCAAACTTTTGAACGGCCCCCTAACTAAGGCGATTATCTGTATTTAGCTGTATGAAGTTGACTAGTCTGTAGTATGATCAGCCGTTTGGGCATCTTGTTTTATCCAGGGTATCGTAATACAATTGGAGACCAGTATATAATACCCTTGATAATCGAGGATGCACCTTGGGCAGGAAGAAACCTATATGTAGATATCTCATCGCACTTATATGTGATCTATCTTGTCATGTTTACGGCAAAATTGAAAATAAATAAATAAATTTACACTGGAAAACAATTTGAAAGAATCTGATATGGTCATATATCATTAATAGATTTCCTTGACGAGCAATAATATTTCATCCCTATGTTAATAATTTACTGATTTAATATAAGTGTGTAAAGAAAACAAATTTAAAAACATTTTTCAAAAGCAAAAATGATAATATATGTTTAATGTCATACAAAATGATGAACAATTGTTGTCCTTCAGGCCGATATGCCTCCCATGGGCGTCCATGACGACACCAACCCCTTCACCGGGCCTATGGACCCCGTCAACCAGCAGTACTACTACAGACAGTGGAAGATGAATCTCCCCTCCCCCAAGAGGCCCATGTATGATTATGATGATGATGATGATGATGATGATGATGATGATGATGATTATCATCATCAAGGATAAGTTAAATGATAAATCATGCCATTTTGAATTAATTATTAGATTTTCTCCCCATCATGTGAATCACATTGAAACATGTTTTTGAAAAAAAAGAGTTTTTACATAAAATGCTGCATGCCTCACATTTTATAACAATTGGATGAAAATCTAACAATTAATATATTGTGGCCTAATATTCAAAATATATCACATGAAATTTTATGTCCTCGTTCCTTTATTAATAATGCTGTTTTCAAACCTCTTTTATAATACTCCATAAGATGCATAGCTTGCAAATATGGACTGCCTTTAGTTATGTTAATATGTCATCAAATCACTTTAAAGGTACCAAATGTTATATTTGAGATAACACTTTCTTAGTAAAGTACAAATTCTAGTACTTTGGGGGCACTAGAATCTGTACTTTACAAAGAAAGTGTTATCCCAAATATAACATTTGGTACATTTGACCACTTTCTTAAAGTCTTTGTGCACTCACTTTATAGGTATATGCATGAGTAGTGAAGAATCACGAAGAATTCACACCAAAGGCAATATATCGTATTCGACATAATAAGCACCCAGGGCGTTCTCAAAATTAGAAATAGGGGGCTCTTATTAGAATATAATTTTGGTGAGAAAAAAAAGAAAAAAAGTTGAAAGATGTAAATTTTGTTGTTTATGCTGACAGCCTGAAATGATATAAAAGAAGCATCTGTGCTATTATACACGATAGATATATTTTCGAGAATTCAAATGCCCATAATTAAGGGTGCATATAACACATGAGTGTGTATTATACACGAATAAATAAGTCTTGTGTACATTGATCAATCGGAAAGGGTGCTAATTGGGATTGTTCACTAGACAGTATATCAGCAAATATCGCTGTGGGCGCTTATTAGAGCGGGGCGCTTATTACGTCGAATACGGTAGTCTCCAAAACAATTATTCTTCTAAAATTAAACCCTGTTTTGAGTTTGTGGTCAAAGGTTCCGATTGCATTATTCCAGCTACCGTTCAGGCCGTCTCGGCAGTCCGTGGCGTCACGTCAAGTCTTGTATCAACAATGGAGGCAGCCATCTTGTCTTCATCGACGGTAAGAAATGGATTTACACTTTCAATTGTCAAACCAAATGAGACATGAAATATGACAATATTTACACAAAAATATGTTAACCAAGAAATTTCTAATACTAGTATAAAATGTAAGTTTAATATTTTCATATGAACAAGTTTTTCTCATTAAATCGATAAACAGCTATGACTGTATCCATGTCTGTTTACACATGGACTTGGCATGTTTCATGTGTGTTGTGTTCTTCCACTGAACGCATGTGTTCTGTTTATAAATGCTTACACAATCCACGGACATAGATGCGCCCAAGACAGTGAGAGCTAGAGACAAAAGTATGGACTTTCTACTTCTAGATACCTAGCCCACAGAGTAGATGAAAAACTCATCGTTCACACAGCACACATCCTTGTTTAGCCAGTGTATTAAGTCTTTATTCTGTTGTGATAAATAACCTCGGCCTGTTTGCTACAATAGTTGGATCTGTATGACACGATAGCTGTTTAATCGAACAACTGTTCGGAGCAAGAGTAATTCAGTGCTTTGTTAATGATGTTAGTTTGTTGTTTAACGCCACAGTCAGCAATATTCCAGCTATATGACGGCGGTCTGTAAATAATTGTGTCTGGACCAGACCATCAAGTGATTGACATCATGAGCATTGATCTACGCATTTTGGATATGATGACATGCATCAACCAAGTCAGTGAGCCTGACAACCAGATCCCATTAGTCGCCTCTTACAACAAGCATAGTCGCCTGTTACGGCAAGCATGGGTTGCTGAAGACCTATTCTACCCCTTGTCTTCACAGGTCATGTCAGTGATGGAGAGATGCTATGATGGCAAATCGGTCCAGCGTATTTATCATAATAGAAAGGAAATGGGCTTATATAGGAAAGACACATATATTAATTCTTCCCCTAACAAACTTGTTCAAAAGTAGTGTAATATATATTTAATTATAAAATTCCTACGGAGTAAAAATAAGTTTAAATTTTTGCACTCATTTTCTTGATAGAAACTTGGTAATTGTTTATTTGCTCGCTCCAACAGGAACTGTAAAGACGGAGGAGAACTTCTTCTATCCCCCCGAGGACGCCCTCAGTCCCCCCGACCTTTCCATGTACATGTCTCCTCGTATAGCCCAGCGGTCATTCAACAGGAAGCCAGACCTCACCTCCAGCTTCAACGAGCGGGCGAAACAAAACTTCAAGTACTGGTACAATGAGCCTAAGCGTATCAACTGTAAGTACATACACTTCACGTGTACAACGCCAGGTGTGACGTTTGACAATTTGCTATTTGTGTAAAAGCTTCAATGGATTTCCAAGCTTGAGGTTTTATACCAGGTATAATAAATACATTAGTAGGAACAATTAGTTTAATAAATATATTTTAAAATTCACTTACTCTTGAAATGGTTGAAGTGCATTTAAATAATATTCACAAAATCTAAATTGGAACTTTCCATAATACTTTCGGAGTTGTCTCCCTTCATCCTCAAGTGTGATGGCCATTGCCTTGATATACATGCCATGCAATATAAGTATTTTTGTAGGTTATAACTCAGCTATGAAATATGTAATGATACTTATTTAAGACTAGAAGTTTAGAAATTATGTTCTTTTGATAAAGAGCATTGTTTAAATGTGCTTATACACATACTCTGTCTTCGTCATCACATCTGTCCACAGTTGTTTGTTTGTTTTGTTGTTTGTGTATTATTGTTGTTTACAAGTAATTGTGTCACAGATTCACCATGCCACACCACACTAGCTTAAGTCACATCACATTACAGTTAGGATGCTATAAATGATATATACCTCTTTTAATCTAACCAGATTGATTAAAATTATATTTCATAATGAATAATTTCTTTCCACAAGGTATATCAATGTTAATGTGTCATGTTCAATATTCTAGTAGTTGTATGTGTTTTCATAAATTTCTATACATTTATGTCTTTATATTTGTATATTCTTTCTAAATGCATAATCTTATTTTATATAAAGCTATTGTAAAGATAACAAACACCATTATCTTACTTACATTTCTCTGTGTCACCTAGCAAGCATCTCTATTGCAGCTTATGAGAGAGAGAAATCATTCCGTGAATGCACAAGTAGAATACAGCAGTCTTGATGTGAAGTGAGAATCTCTCAAACATACTCAGGCTAACATGTATCTCACCCAGCAGACTCACTAACCCTATAACCAGGGAACCAGCAACCGAGATAACTAGCTTCAAACTTACACCTCCTACTGTACAGTAACTAGCTTCAAACTTACACCTCCTACTGTACAGTAACTAGCTTCAGACCTATATTCCCATTGTACAATAGCTAGCTTTAGACCTATACCTCCCTGTACAATAACTAGCTTCAGACCTATACCTCCCTGTACAATAACTAGCTTTAGACTTATACCTCCTACTGTACAGTAATACAGAGTGTTTTTAAAAAGTGTGGAATTGCAGGAAATAGATTATTAGGCCATAATAAATTAATTATTAGATTCCATCCCCGCCTCACAACAAAACACCCTTATTTACCTCATCGCATTGTCCCCAAGTCCCTTCTGATTAATGGTGAGTGAGTGAGTTGGGTTTAACGCCGCTTTTAACAGTATTCCAGTTATATCACGACATGTCAGCTTAATGTGGGAGGAAAGCCCGAAGTGATGCAGGTCTCAGACGTTTACCACTTCGGTGAAACCCATGAGCACGGGTATGGTGCTGACAAACCTAGAATCATAATCAGGGGAACCGGGATTCGAACCCACAATCATAGGTTTCTGGCGTGCCCAAGGGACGCAACTCTGCACAGCGAATCACGGCGCCTAAGACGACTGGGCCACCTGTGCCCCCTCTGATTAATGAAATTACTGTGAATCATGTAAATTGAAAGTTAAAGTGCACAGATGTCTTGAACAGTTTGCATTTTAACATAAACATATATATATATCTCACATTTAAAGATAAAATTTGACATGTAATTTATTGTGGCCTTATCTGAAAAAAAAATTCCTATATACTGCAACAGTATGAAAACACACTCCCCATTACAAACAATTCTACAGAAGGATCAGAAGCTTATTCTACTTTTATTGTAAACTGTTAACAGGATTTGACTGCTTTAGGGCAGATAGAAAAAGTGTTTGTAACACTAGTTACCATAGAGAGTTGGGCTACGACGAGTCCAAATTTACTACCCGGGTACCCTACCCTCTATGACCAGACCCTACCCGGGTACCCTCTGTAGGTCTCGAGAGGTGGGAACAAAATGTCTGACTGGGAAGTTTTACCGCAGCCCTGGCTAAAACTATTTAGAGACATGTATCAAACAATCAGATCATGCGTTTACTGAAGTTGACTGAAGCTTTATCTTTACTCAAACATATACAAGTCAAAAGGTATGTGTGCATTGTCAGAAAGAAATGCGAACATTAGCGACTTGTAGTGTAACCACTGAGCTATAGTGAGTTTTTGTCATTAAACAATACATTAAGTGACAAACCTAGGGTCCAGGAAGTCCTGTAAGTACCCGGGTCCTACTCTGGACCCACCCGCCCCGAGTACCTGAGTTACCCGTCCCAGCCCTTATAGAGAGGGTTACAAAAGGAGCCCTAAGTTATGGCATTAGTGTCACAAACATTTGTCTATAGAAAATTGTTAAAATTTGAACGTTTCACTCGTTTTGAACCAATTCGCTGTTGACTACTTCATACATAGTAGAGAACCAAATTATGTTTTCAAAGGAAATATTGATAATATTTTCATAAATCACCATCAAAATGTGTAAAATAGATTAATAAAACATTGTTAGTGGCTGCGTTCTTTGTACGGTAAATAGCACTTGTCATATATTATTACATATTGCTTTCATCCCTCTAATTATGTCTATATATCTCTCTCTATATATACACATGTATACTATGATGCTATATCTGATAATAATCCTAAGTCAAATATACCATATTCAACGTAATAAGCACCCAGGGAGCTCTCAAAATTAGAAATAGGGGGGTCTTATTAGAATATGATTTTGGTGACAGAAAAAAGAGTTGAAAGATCGTATATTTTGGGGTTATGCTGACAGCCTGAAATGTTTATATATGACAGATATATTTTTCCAGAATTTAATTTCCCATAATTAAGGATCTATATTATACACGAATAAATAAGTCTTGTGTACATTGATCAATCAGAAGGGGTGCTAATCGGGATTATTCACTAGCCAAAATATTAGCAAATATCGCCGTGGGCACTTATTAGAGCGGGGCACTTATTAGGTCGAATACGGTATATAAAAATAATAAGCACCCTGGGAGCTTAGAAAATTATCACTTATTGAAAACATTAATGAGTTTAATTTGTCAGAGATCGATCAAAACAAACTTAGTTCAAACATTAACGATACTAAAATGTTTCCACCTATAAGGCAGTTAAATACCCCTTCTACTCTGCCATGTTTTCTGTAAAGAGAATCTGTAATATACACCTGAAAATATGGTGCACCATGTTTGGGGTGCTTATGAAATTTTTACTTACAGATTGGTTTATATTGGCAGGGGGTGCTTATTGGCACAGGGAAGTTTCTATGGCTAAAAGAATGGTTATAAAAACATTGAGAAATATTACACACTAAAGGAAAATCTATTTCATATTGTTTTGGGGAGATAACTAGGCTTATACTCAGATTGGCTCATCAATACCTTTCTTTATATGGTAAGCAGGGTGTATATTGTCTGTCAGTGTATTTGTGTGAGATTGTCCTGTACTGTCTTAGTAGTGTCTGTTATAATAATCAATATTTGTGGAGTCTTTTACAACCAGGATCATAGATATATCTGTATATGAAGAGAATACATTATACCAACTGCTTCAATGGAATTCCCAGTGTCTGAACTGAATTAAAATCAACACTGATATCTGAAAAATGATGTCAAAACTACTTAATATCATAATTGCATTATTGAAGGATTTGAATCCTGTAATTTTATTATTTCCCTGAAAACATGCCGTTTTTTCAAGAGGGAATTGAAAGCTATCAGTGCATTTGTTAATCACTCATTGGTATCGTCAAGAGGTGAGAGAATGGAGATTTATATCTGATATTGTTTCATTAATATTGTGTCTAGAAGTGAGAGAATGGAGATTTATATCTGATATTGTTTCATTAATATTATGTCTAGAAGTGAGAGGATGGAGATTTATATCTGATATCGTTCCACAGCCTCAGATAAACTATAGTCTAGCAGCCAGGTGAGAAAGGCACGAGTGATCCCATGCACAGCACCACTCCCTATCACTGTCACAGAACGGTGGTCTTTAATATTGTTGGATTACAAAAGTGACCGATACACAGAAGGGCTACTTTCCTTATTGTTTGTTCTGATAAACTAGAGTTATCTCCCTTCATTTTCACTTGAAAATTCATCAGGTTTACTTAAAATGTAGTTTATTCCAGGTTAATTTTAGTTTAATATTTCCTTCATATTTCCAAGTTCTAAGTAATCATTCAATTATACACTACCCCTGTGTTGAATATAACCCATCATAACCTCATGTTTGTTACATTGATTTACAATGATGTTACAGTGTGTTACAGTGTGTTACCAGAATTGCTGTGACTGTGTGCATCCTTGCGAGCTTACTGATGAAGTAGTTTGTCTGCTGTAGTCAAGCTTCTTCGCCAATAGGACGTGTACACGACAGACATGTCGTACATGTCTTCAACAAAATATGGCAGTAATGACCCAGCCATAGACTTTGTGTTGAAAATCATTGTCTTGACTACAGCATTCAAAGATGATTGTGTAGATACTATTTGGGACTTTGTAACATTGATGTCAAAATGTTAGGAACGTATTTATGCAGAGTCCAACCTTTTTTTATCACACGGGGATGTTCTTACACAGGGATGAACACAAGACACAAAGACTCAGTTTTTCAAATTAAAATTTATCAAAAAGAAAGAATTTAATATTAGGCAGGATTTCAACACATTTCTAATATTACTTACTTGTTGATCTGTTGGTTACGAATGGGTTTTATTGGATCCTACCTAACCAATAAAACCCCGAGATTACAAATGAAGTGTTTAGTCAACACAACATAAACCTTTATTTCATCTCACTGTTTATTGGACCAGTGAAGATCCGGGTTAGAATAGGTCTTCAGCAACCCATACTTGCCGTAAAAGGCAACTATGCTTGTCATAAGAGGCGACCAACGGGATCGGGTGGTCAGGCTTGTTGACTTGGTTGATGCATGTAATCGTCTTCAAATTGTGTGGATTGATTCTCATGATGTCAATCACTGTATTGTCTGGTACAGACTCGATAATTTACAGACAATTGTCATATAGCTGGACTATTGCTGAGTGCGGCATTAAGCAACAAAGAAAGAAACAACACTTTTCAAAAATCAAACAAACAGATACAGGTAATAAAAACTGGTTGGCCTATTGCTTCTGCTAGTCTGAAACAAGACTTAAAATCATATCCAGAAAACAGAATTTCCTGTTACTCTTTGCCCTTCGGGAGCCATGATATCTACACAATCTCTGACAGCTGGCATCCTCTTCCTCTCTAACCTGCTAACCTGTTTCTCTCAGTTTCCTCTAAATACGATTTCGGAGGTCGAAGTCGTTGGCTTGGAGTATCTGGTGAATCCCTTGCTGGTCGAAACCCGAGGTTTACTATACGTTACTAACGCAGGTGATTACCTCCCCTTTGGTCGAGTACACTGCCATCTTGTGGCATTGTTCCCTTCTAGAACAGCTTTATTTAGTGTTACCAGTTACTGGTTACAGTAGTCATGGTAGTGTAGATGGAAAGATGCAGTTGACTGCAGATGAAGTAGTTTTGTTTTAGTAGGTCTGTCCGTCTCATTAGTTTCTCAGTCACCTAGCAGGGATATAAAAACCTTTATTTTGAACCCACATAGATCATATTATATAACTCATATCTTGTTTATGGTTGAAAATCTCTTCCTTCGTAAATATTTGTTAATTTTAGAAGCATAAATTCTAGATATTTGTTTATCATGCCAAAGAGAACAGGGGCCCGTTCCACAAAGCGATCTTAGCGCTAAGATGATCGTAACTCCCATACTTTAACACAGGCTTACGACAGTCGTAGCACTAAGATCGCTTTGTGGAACAGGCTCCAGGACCTGTTCCACAAAGCGAACTTATCACTAAGATGATCGTAACTCCCATACTTTAACATAGGTTTACGACAGTCATAGCGCTAAGATTGCTTTGTGGAACGGGGCTCTCGTGCAAATGTTTTCTTTGTCAGTCGGTGGTTTGAATCGGAACCAAATAAGAAAGTGTCATTGTAGAGAAATATTGTAAATGTTTTGTCCAATATGTTGAACCTACACCTATAATGTACCTATTTCTCCATCTAACAGTCACAGTATTCCCTTTCAGTGTAACGAAGTTGTCTGTTTATACAAACAAATATGACTATCATTCATGTTAACTATGATCCTATTTAGCGGGACTGAATTGTCAAATCTAAAATATTCAATTAGATATGTCCCCCATGTTAAGACAATAACTCTAGTGAGCCGAAAGCCCAACATGGACTTCAGGATATTTCAGCACAAAATGACAAGTACCACATTGGTATTTTTTTCCTTTTCAGTGGCAGCTAGGTACAGAATGAAGGCACGTCTGATGACTATGGGAGTGTGAAACAGTTGTCTTTCAGGCAGTCTTGCCTTTCAGTGAAGAATCAAGCCAGTATCGTCAATTATTAATTTCATTTTACTTTCTCACTGATGTATAGAGAAGTCACCCAAGAGGGCATTTGCACATTTAAAACTATTTCGTAAATCTACACGGTTCATATAGAATTTGAGTGACAAAATTTCAAGTTCATTTTAAGGCTCACTCAGTATTCAAAGCCACGCAAATGAAATAGTATATAGTTGTTTGTTCAATTTGTTACAGCTTCGGACATTTCAATGCTAGCAAAAGGGAGACAAACATGGTAATCAACCATCAAATGAGCACATAAATTTTTTTATTTCAAACAATGAAAAGATGCATGTAAATTTAGGGAGTCATGGATTGATTTAAATTCAAGGTCTTTTAAAGGCACATTATCCATTTTCAAGGCCTTTAAAAGACAGAATCTAACTTCAAGGCCTTTTCGAACATGTGCGAACCGTGATCTGTGGAAAGTTGATAATAGTACCATTTTTTTCTAACTTTGTATGTGTCACTAGTACTCAACTTCTATGCATGGTCATTCCCCCACTGAGAAGTGCTAGTCTGTAATTGTAAGAAGTAGTGTTACTGTCAACATTGTTATATTTAAGGACTACAAAGCAAACTGACCAAATCCATTCATACTGACAATATCATTTTCTACATTTCTGCTAAAGAATCCGATGAAGTGAAAGTGTACAAAATTATGAGGGGTCTCAGGGTCCTTGAGGTCTCTATGGCATTAAAATCTAGGGACCTCCTAAATATTGGATTCTTAGTTTTAGAAAAAGTGTGCTTCGTCTTTCATTTCTACTTCTGAACATGCATAGTATTAAACCATGCTCTTTGTAATCACATAAGCGCAACAGAAGACACCTAACTGTAAATCTACCTATCAGTATTAATTTTGAGAGGCCAGAGTGAATATATTTTGCAGTTTTGCAAAGTTAAACTACATGTAATAACGGTGACTTTGGCCTTGTTATTGTACATTAATATCAGCTGGTTTCCGGAATTGCTCAGACAAAATTAACCCCAATTTGCCTTTCATTTAAAACACACATTTTGTAAGGTAAATTATAGGTGTATTACTGTTTTGTGCCAAATATACTATCTTCTTGTGTACAATGCATTCTTACCCTTTTTAGTTAATTTTGGAAATAAAACTGGTCTGGAATAACTTGATAACTACAACATGTATCTGCTTACCAAACTAGTCCTAGTAATCCTACCCTGAAACCCAGGCAAAGCAGCTGATAGGAATGTACGTACTGGGATATGGAGTGGGTAATCCGAAGAACTGCATCGCAGTCGGAGCATCTTGCAATGGCAGTATTACACCATGAATGTACATAGCTTTGTTAGTTTAGTCATGCTTGTTTGACGTTGCTTGCACTATATTGAGAACTGATTCAACCATTGTACAGAAATTTCAGCCTAATAAAAATTAGAGTTTTACATACTACCTTGTCATGTTATTGTGAATAGGAACGCAGTGTGTGACAGCAATACTGAAGTTGGGAATCTGTTTAATTCAAAATCCTTGCATGTTGTGTGATAAAATAGCATGAAGAGCATAGGATGACATGATAAAACAGGATTCCCAACACTAGTCATAACTAGAAACTACAAGGACATCTGACCCAGTGATATAGTTTGTTTGTTTGTTGTTTAACGCCCTACTCAGCAATAGTCAAGCTATATGAAGGCGGTCTGTAAATAATCGAGTCTGGGCCAGACAATCCAGTGATTGACAACATGAGCGTCGATCCACGCAATTGGGATCAATGACATGCATCAACCAAGTCAGCAAGCCTGACCATCCGATCCCATTAGTCGCCTTTTACACAAGCATGGGTTGCTGAAGACCTATTCAATCCCAGATCTTCACGGGTCTACCCAGTGATATAAGACAAGTATCTGAGTGAGTGAGTGAGTATGGTTTTACGCCGCTTTTAGCAATATTCCAGCAATATCACGGCGGGGGACACCAGAAATGGGCTTCACACATTGTACCCATGTCGGGATTCGAACCCGGGTCTTTGGCGTGACGAGCGAATGCCCTAACCTCTAGGCTACCCGACCGCCCCGACAAGTATCTGAGGATGATCTATAGCCATGTATACATGTGCAGACATGTACGTACATGAAGAACAAGTAGTATTTGTACAATTACTGTAACACCCAGTATCTTGAATCACTACCCACAAAGAGCTCATCAGTCAGTATGCATGTGCACACTTGACTACTCCAATTTAAGAGGGATTGCTCATTATCTACACTAAAATACATGATCATGTATATTCTCAGGAACTATAAAATAAATGGAGTTGAAGCTTCCCCGTTTGAAACAGTTAGTGAGTGAGTGAGTGAATATGGTTTTACGCCGCTTTTAGCAATATTACATCAATATCACGGCAGGGGACACCAGATATGGGCTTCACACATTGTACCCATGTCAGGAATCGAACCCGGGTCTTCGGTGTGACAAGCAAACGCTTTAACCACTAGACTACCTGACCGCCCCCCGTTTGAAAGAAAGAACTCAGAATTGTATATGATTTGATAAAGTACGTCCCAACAAAAAACGGCTTGCAATCTCTTGTTGATACCATCAGAAATTATGTACATTTGACATGACTATCATTTTGTTCATGACCTTGTGATATAAAACTCATAACGTGTCACAGTAGCACGATGCACCAAACGTTTGGTGAATCAATACTTCATCCAACAAGTGAAAACCTATCCAAGCTGTTCGTGGGACAACACAAAAACAGTCCAGACATAGCCAAGTCTTTCATCAAGTTCTATCCATCCTCTGAAGCTATTGCAGTGATGCATGTTGGTACTAGCCTATGTCTAGTTTGTCTCATGTTATCCTGAGGGGGTGTCCACATTCATCATCACTAACCAGACCACGTTTCGGGTCAAGTTACACATCAGGTATTGTTTCAACCCTTTACAGAGCAAAGAAGAACATAGAACTTACTGTATGATGTTTTATTTACAAAAGAATAATGTTACATCAAAAGAGACAAAATAGTGTGGATGAGCTGAATGTGAAATCTGAAAATTTATCCTTTTTACAACTTCTCCATTGGAGTTCTTTCCAACAAGGCATTTATACATTTGATGCGCCTCATTTCTTAGGATGTTAACATTATTATCAAACTTACACATGATTGTTACTGCTGTGGTGAAATAATGAGATAAAAGGAACACATTGAAAGGTTCGGCAAACTTGATTCCGCAGAAACAAAGCAAGCTTACAACATTTGCAAAACAGACATACAACGCCCTTTCAAAATGTTCACTTGTATTTTAGTCGAGTCCTCACATGAACATTTCCCCAGAGACTGATAAAAAACAGTTCCATAAATGTTCACTTTCCTGACGCCAAAGGATTTCGGAGCACAAGAATAACAGAATCTCCTCTTAAGAACATCTTTGAAATATATCTGTCCTTATTCACTGGCTTTGACTTCTTCTTGCCTTTGCCTGTTTTGGGAACTTCTGTCCACATCTCCTTCACATTTTCCAAGACCATGTTGCAATGCCTGAACAGGAAGAACATAGGACATGCATATGACATAGGTAAAAGAATGATTCATGGAGACAGGAAACTTCCTATTGATCAGTGATAACTTCCATCTTCAATAATTCAGGATTTATTTTCTACACTATGTTAGTATTGTTACTCGAACTGTGGATACACACATCTTCCTGAGGCAAGAGAGTTAACTGGCTATAAAAGTCCAGTTTCCACCCTTGCCGAACTAAGCTGGTATTATGGAGTTACATTTTGGCTGGACTAACGAGTCTATGCATAGTCCAATCAAAATCGCGCACCGAAATTGAAATCTGGTTCATAAACTGTCGTGCAGATTTCGGTTGATTGCAGGATTTGCAAAGCATGTGTACCACCAACCCATTGTCAGCAGATATTTTCCAAATCTTTTCATGTTTCTAATCAAGGTGCACACGTGATTTGATGCATTTCGCAATGTAAGACCCTTTTTATCACTATACAGATCTTGATTATCGATCAGATCGTCCTGACTGGGCGCCACCATTTTGTGTGAAGCAAACGCAAGTGATACGAGAGGTGATTGGTCCATAGGAGAGGCATAGAAGGGACATAACTGGTAATAGCCACTGATGGCGCTACGATCGAGCCCAGTAATTCCAGCCTAGTTCGGCAAGGGTAGAAACAGTTAACTCTCTTGCCTCGGGAAGATGGGATACACACAACCGCTATGCAGTGTAATATTGATGACAGTGATTCTGCTTGACACAAACAGTACTAGGACGTTTCCATGACTTTATCAACTGTTGAAGGACTTTCTTCTATTGCAAAACTAAATTAGAAAAAAATATTTTGGATTTTTTTTTGTGACAGTCAAAGCCCTAGAAAATGAAACAATCTGGAACAATGGATGTTTGTCTTATTAAATGAGTATGTGGATAACAGATGGAAGTCAAATGGGGTGGATGACCACAAGGCTATGGCATATGTTGCCTGAGAAATATTGAAATGTAAGTAATTTGAGCACTCATTGGCCAGAGCCCTCACTAGTTTCCATCTCGCGGGAACCAGGCCATTCGTTAAAAATAGCTACTCTGCAGAACCATTTAACCATCCATAGGTATTATAAATGGAGGTACCCATTAAATATAGTTGTGTTTCAGGTATTAAACCTAAATATCATTACCATTGCTGGAAACAGTCGTCAAGAAACACATATAACATTCAGATAGATCTGGGGATATTTCCACATATATAGTCGGTGCTGAACAATGATGAAGGTATAAATTTATTGTAACCTTCAAATTCGAAGAAAACTTTTTCTAACATCAGTTCTAAACAAGCCATCTTAAACATTATTAACATGATGAAAAGGTATCAAATGAAACAAGGACCTTACCAACTGAACCATACCTGGTGGTCAATGTTACACGAAACAAGTGTTTTGTTTTTGTCTGGCTTTACAGGATCACATGGGTATCCTTCCATTATTTTACCAATGACCACAGATGAACACGATTGTGTAGCCTATGGTTTGTTTAGCAGGTGCCAATAGGTTGAAATAAGTGACATTCATATTTCATGCGATATAACAACATTCAGAACTCACAATTGGCCGATAGTGTATTAACAAAGGGAATTACCTGTCAAATGCCTTAACTCGGGCAAGCAGTTTCTTGTTGTTCCGACAATTGATGAGAACTTGTGTGTTGTTTTTTACGGACTGTGTCAAAACTGACAGAGGTCCTGTGTTGAATTCTTCCTGTTCTCTTGCAGACAGCTCTTCTGGTGTCATTTCACTCTTCGGTTTCTGCATAAGTGCCCTATATAAAAAAAACCCCGCAAAAACAAATTTGTATATGTATCATGTGCGCGTAAACTAATACATATGTCACAATCAGACACGGTACATTATCAAAACGTTTTCACGACGTCGTAATGATATATGTTTACAGTGTGATCGAAAACAGGACATACATTGAAAACCACAAACAAAGGATAGAAGTGTAATTTTTCGAACATGGAATGCCATTATTACATTTTTTAAATAACAAAGGCACAATTTCCGAGGTATCTTACTTTAACACAAAGAAGCACAGATATATTTTTGACGGATTTTCAAAACATAAACAAAAACATTTGATCGCCGGTAACACAAACGAACACATGAGCGGTTATAGGCGATATCCGACATAAATAATAAAAAATCACTTCTGGACACAAATGCAATAATGTCTTGGAACATATTTTAACGAATAAACTATACTTACGACATCTTGATACAGTTCGATTACACCGATTGTCTCTAAAATTTCCTATTCACCGCCAAACGCTTCCAATACGTTTATGAACTGCGCATGCGTGATGACCTTGATGAAGTAAATGGACTCCAACATCGAAGAGTTCCAAGAAGTGCCCGTTGCTCTCCAATCACAACACGCCACCAAATCCTGAAATAGGCGTGTTTGTCAAGTCTACTTGCGGCAACAAGGATAGTTTAGGATTCAAAGGCTTATCGGGTAGATATTAATTAATATATCTTGCGTCATACACTGAAAGTGAGTCAATCTTATTTATGCCTATGTGTTCTGCTCATTTCGGGCATAATTTTAGTCTGCTCACAAAAAACATTCTCACAAATCAACTAGATCTAGATCAACTACTGCACCAGTAAGACGCTATTAAAGATCTAGACTATCTATAGTGTTATATGTAATTCAACTTAAATGAATATCTAAGAATTAGAGTGGTGTATCGAAGTATTATTAGATCGTAGACCATGCCTGTTTCATGTTAATTGTTGGCTAAATAATTTCGCTATTACCAACGATCAGTGCACATGATATTTGATGATTGTATATTAAGCTATATGACAGATTTTACTCCATTTTAGGGATCATTCAGAATGAAGGTGGGATATCTGTACCAGCTGGTAGCTCTAGCCTGTCTATGGCTTGCTGTGGCAGCAGACGGAAAGACGGAGAAGAAGGAAGGCAAGAAATTACAGATCGGAGTGAAAAAGCGGGTCGATCCAGACAAGTGTACAATTAAGTCCAGGAAAGGAGACACTTTGAAGATGCACTATACTGTAAGAGGAATCAAATTGTCTATATGTACCTCAGTAGTTCCCAATTAAAGCAGTGGGCCAAGAATATCTCAGTTGCCGCAATTCAATGTGCAGAGTTGCATGCCAGAAACCTATGATCGTTGGTTTAATTCCCAATTTTGCCTTGATTATGTTTCTAGGTTTGTCAGTACCATACCCATGTTCCCAAGTTTCACCAAACTGGAAAACGTCTTAAAACCAGCATCACTTTGGGCTCTCATCATGCTCATATCAAGCTGACTCGCCATAATATACCTGAAATACTGTTCAAATCACTGCTAAACCAAATTCACTCACTCACTCAATAACAGCTATCCACACAGATCACCATTGCTTTTGCTCCGTCAATGCCATCTCAATATAAAAGGCCACATTTGTTGCATTGAGCAGGAATTATTTTTGCAGTATTCCTTTCATGTAATTGGCTGCTCATCTTCTTGCTTATGCATTTATGTGCCAACATGCATCAATTTTAGTACCGTATTCGACATAATAAGCGCCCACAGCGAGATTTGCTAATATATTGGCTAGTGAACAATCCCAAATAGCACCCCTTCCTTTCCCTATTCGTGTATAATACGCACTTTTGTGTTATATGCACCCTTTATTATTGGCAATTAAATTCTGGAAAAATATATCTGTTGTACATAAACATTTCAGGCTGTCAGCATAAACCACGAAATTATCTTTCAACTCTGTTTTTTTTCTTCACCAAAATAATATTCTAATAAGAGCCCCCTATGTATAATTTTGAGAGCACCCTGGGCGCTTATTACGTCGAATTTACGGTATTTCCACATAAAGCAATGCTTGTACTTTTGGTTTGTTTCTTGTTATATGTCACAGTTCACAATATTCCAACAATATGGCGGCATACAAATAACTGAGTCAGGGCCAAGTGAACGCAATACTTGTAAATAATACAAGTAATTTTGCAATCTTGAAATTGAGTGGGCTTCTGATAGCTAAAGTTGGCTTGCCTTGTTTTTGTTTGTATATTCCATCTTAACAGGGTTTCACTGTATTTTATATTTCAGGGCAAGCTAGAAGATGGTTCAGAGTTCGACAGCAGTTTGTCACGAAACGAGCCATTTACTTTTACACTAGGGGCAGGTCAGGTCATAAAAGGCTGGGATCAGGGACTACTAGGGTATGTAGGGGCCCCTCTCAGAACATGTAAAACATTTGGTTAATCAAACTGATGAAACACACCATAATGTGTAACATACAATAGTTGGGGGGCTGGGGGGGGGGGGGGGGGGGGGGGGGCATTTCTATTTTTAGGTTTAAAAATTCTACCAACTGGGGCCAAAAGCTGCAAGATACAACTGCAGAAATCATGAATATTTAACTAATAATTGTGAATTTATTGTCTATGCAGACCTCTAAGTCTTGAACAGAGAACAAAGCCTTCTAAGAAGTAAATATGTAAAGCTACAAAACCACCTGTACATTAACAGTAGTATTGGCACTTATTCTTTCTACTGACTGACAAATGAAATAAATATTCAGCAACTAATTTAAAGAAAATATACATTATTATTATTAAGCCAAATCTGTGATACCATCAAATCAAAAAGTGTGTCCAAGCAGAAATAATTATTTCCAATGGTGATTTTTGTTTTCAGTTACGAAACTAAACAATGAAAAATGACTGTAGATGTAAACAAATGTTGTATTGCAGAATGTGTGAAGGTGAGAAGAGGAAGCTGGTGATCCCGAGTGATATGGGTTACGGTGATAGAGGTGCACCTCCAAAGATTCCAGGTGAGTGTGAAATCACACGTTAAGGCTAAAAAAAATAATAGTCTTGGTTCTCAGGCACTGCCTACATCTTCATAAAGTTTCGTTTTTGTTTTCATTTTCAATTTTCTTTGTGCATAGTGTTTAAGTATAAGGATTTTTATATTTTTTTTGAAATGGAAATGTGTTTAAGTATAGGATTTTTATATTTTTTAAAATGGAAATAAAAAAAAAACGTGGGGCAGACTTTATGGTGATGCGAGTGGTGCCTGAGAAACAAGACTATTATTTTTTTTTAGCCTAAGATATGGATTATCATTAACATCTTAATCAATCTATCTGTATACATTCCTTAAGCCATAAGATTGAAAGGAAACTGCAGCTTATTGTGACAAGTATATAGACACATAAATGTACCGCAGGCCATACGGACTCATTGCAACTATGGAATTATTGGCCCAACACAAGATCTACCTGCCACTGGCTACCTGCAGGTGCTTATTTCAAACACTGATCGTGGGTTCAAATCCCAGATTCACACTGATTGTGTTTTTCTAGTGTTTAAACATCGAAGACCTGTTTCACTTTAGGCACGCCTCCAACATTATGCTGACACACACTGTGATAAAACTGAGATTCTTATCTCAGGGCTTGAACCCATCTCACTCACTTAGACAAGTGGTGATCTATGATCCTTGGTTCAGATCCTAGTTTTGCTCTGATTTGCTTGTGGGTTATGCCAAAGTTATAAACATCTGGGACCTGCCTCGCTTTTTGATTTCCTCCAACATCAAGCTTACATGCCGTGATATGGCTGAAATACTGTACAAAATAGTGTTAAACCCAAATCACTCGCTCACTTTGCACACAGGTTTCTCTCAGGTTTTTTTCTTTGTCACAATTACCTCCCTTTGCAGAGTTGTGTCCCTTTGGCTTTAGTAATATTATGCCAGCTAAGATTTCCCAACCATAAATTCATTGGTTTGTCAGCACCACACCCAGGCCCCTGGGTTCCCCCAAATTAGTAATTGACCAAGACTCAAATCTGATTAAGTCAATGCCTTTGATATCACAAATGTTCTGTTCAAAATTGCATTGAATGTTGACACTCTTGTCCTTTCATATTCAAGTATTGAAAAGAATAAAGTCAAATTGTCATTCATATGAGCACATCTCATAACTTAGTAAGGATAAGAATTGCTTGCTTGATAACGGTGTTAGAACCTACACCGAAACGTCACTCTTAATTGTAATAAAGAAGTTGTTTATCCATAAATTCTTATCCTTACTTAGTACTCCAACTCCAACTTAGTACATAACTTTCATAATTATTTGTAAAGGATATCCATCTTTTTGTACATCAAGCTTTTCCCATGAGAAAAATTTTCTTAAAGTCTCTTTAATATATCGTCCTTTACTTAAAAAATAATAGTCTTGGTTCTCAGGCACAGTCTGCATCATCTTAAAGTTCGCTGAACGTTTCATTTTTATTTCCATTTTTAAGCCCCCCCCCCCCCCCCCCCAAAAATATCCTTAAATATTCCAAGTCCAATGGTTGTCAAATACTGTATTCCAGTATTATACTCATCAAGGAATACATTTATGTAGGGAGGCCCTTTCCCAGGTTGATTGTACACAACTGTTTATTTGGTTACACAACTGTTTATTTGGTTACATACTAGTTTGAACAAAAAAAACAAAAAACGCCTGCCTGCATTATATTTTCAAAAGCCCTTGCCTGAAAACTAATTCTTTTATCTTCTTAAGCCTTACTTACATGTTATCATTCACTTTGGGTATTGATAGTATTCTGTGGGCATGTAATACATTTTAATTACTCTGAGGTGCAGTCCATTGGGTATTTTTAAACCATTAGTAGACCCTTTTATAAGTAATTCTGTTTGGAATGCTGTTTCCATGGTTTCAGGAGACTTCTCACTCACAAGTTGCATCTGTTCACGTGCTGCCCCAAATGTGTCACATGTTACATAATCTTACAACAGTGATGCATGTCTAAAGTTACAAGCGAGACAGCACTTTTGTGCATTATTGACTGCAGTAGAGTTCATGTATACATGATGCCTGCATTTAATCAGTAAATTCAGAACTATAAAAACATACAGGTATGCATTCTGAAAAGACAACTTGATAATTTGCAGTATTGTTAAAATTGGTTACACCATGTCTTTGACAATGTTGTGCATATTGGTATGTAATAGTCTAAAAATTCAGGGTTATATGGTAAATATAGAATACTAAACGAGCTCCCATGTAATACCAATTTTATGAAACGAGTGAATAGTTGTGGTATCTGACGAGCGAAAGCGAGTCAGATACCACAACTATTCACGAGTTTCATAAAATTGGTTTTCCACGGGAGCGAGTTTAGTATTTTATTTATTACTTGCAATTTATAACGTTCTTTGAATTATACTGTTGAGTACGAATAGGCTGACACCTACATGATCCACGACATGAGTTTAACAGAATAATACTTCAAACACGTCAAAAGTTGAAACGTATGAATTTCATACCATACAACGGGTCTACCTTTAGAATTCACAAAGTTATCGTAGGGCTAAGACTTTCGCATCTCACATACTTTAACTTAGACCAACGACTGTCGTTGCGCTACAATACAATCGCCTTGTGGAACGGGCCTTGCACCTCAAAGTTTTCAATAACGTCACAATACCCGATGACGTAATTTGTGGAATTTTGATGCAAGATCCATCGGCGAAACAATGCCATGTGACGTCAGCCTAGCAACAAGGTTGCTGAGGTCATCGAGTGTGCATAAGCTCCTCTCAGTGATCTATCAACTCCACACGCAATGTCGTTGAATAAGCCAAGGGATGTTGAGAGCTTTCAATATTTGTTCGTGAAACGTGTTCCGAGAGTACATAAGCACGCGTTTTGGTATTACACAATGTGTAATAAAGCTGTATGTTTATTAAACGGGTGATCTCTTCACGGGCAAGTAATAATGGTGTTTTATGATAACACACAGCTTATTCAGAGCTCTGATGTCTGACTAAAATGTGCACCCTATCTATTTCCAGGAGGCGCCACGCTTGTCTTTGAGGTGGATCTGATCAAGATTGACAGGAAGGAAGAATTGTAATCAAGTTGGCAATGACGGTTCCTGCATTTAATATGTCTCAAATGGATCATTTTTATTACTTGACCAAAAATAGATTTATTCCACAGATAAATGTCCAATATTTCATTATGTTTACACGTGGGTTTATCATGTTTATGGATGACAATTCTTGAATGAACTCTCGGAATTAAGATGCGGCACTGTTAAATACACCATGACTATGCAATGGGTGACAGTGGGCAGAACTACTTCAAGGGTTACATATGATGTAGCGGTCCTGCATATTGGCGTAATTTTCATCTAAGAGTCATATTTGATGCAACGTGTGACTAGCATTTTATTACTCAAGGGCAAGGCTTAAACATTTTGCTTAAGGTGTATTTTAATATGACTATTTTGTAGACTCAAAAAAAAATGTGACCTTTGTGACCTATTTTTTATAGACATGGTGAAACCCTTTTGTTTGTATGTGTCATAAAAGACAGAACTTTGTACTTTTGGAAAGATGATTAACTGTTGTCCTAAAACCCATGACTTTTACAGAATACTGGTTCATAATAATCATGTTTGATGTATACCCCCAGATCTTCACATGAAATTGATGTATGAATGATTAAGTCCTAATTGTGCCAACTCTTATCCAACCTAAGTATGTTGCATGTACAAAGAATGTCTGTTTTCACCATTCAATACATACATGGATGTCACTGTGTTCAGTTAACATGGAAGCAGAGCTACAGTATTGTTTGTGAAATATTTCTACACAAATGCATACATGTTTAAATACTTGAATGGTAACTTGAAAGGACTATATACACGTTCTACCTGGAACCAGAATTTTCTACTTTCATTTTATGATCAAGTGTTCATGAATGTTTGTGTTCTGTTGTATGAAAAAGTAAGTAAAAAATGTGTGTAAAATGTTATTTTTTTGTTTTATTCAAGGAGGGGGGCTTAAGTCCATGTTGCCGTGTGTAGGGAAACCTGAAGGGTGGCAAGACCTTGGATGGGTGTTGTGGGTTTGTTGGAATCAGTCAATTAGATATTGGCGACATCTGTATTGGCGAGATGGATTCCGAAGATATCAGCAGCTGGCGCTCCTTGCTGGCCTTGAAAAGAATATTTCCTGCTCAGTGTTTGGAAATTGGAGCGGCCCAGTGGTAAAAGTGTTAGCTCATCACACCCAAAGACCTGGGTTCAATTCTCCACAGGGGTACAATGTGCGAAGCCCACTTCTGGTGTCGGGGGCACAGGTGGCCCAGTCGTCTAAGGCGCCCCGATTCGCTGTGCAGAGTTGCGTCCCTTGGGCACGCCAGAAACCTATTGTTGTGGGTTCGAATCCTGGTTCGCCCCGATTATATTTCTAGGTTTGTCAGCACCATACCCGTGCTTGTGGGTTTCACCAAAGTGGTAAACGTCTGAGACCTGCATCACTTCGGGCTTTCCTCCCACATTAAGCGGACACGCCGTGATATGACTGGAATACTGTTAAAAGCAGCGTTAAATCCAACTCACTCACTCACTTCTGGTGTCCCCAGTGAAATTGCTGGAATATTGCTTAAAGCGGTCTACAATCTCACTGTCTTTGGGTTGGCCTGGCTTGAGACAAACACAAGTTGCTATAATGGGTAATTCCTACACAAGTTAGTGGATGTTGTAAATGCTGTGGCCTGTATATCCTGCAGGCAAACCAGTGAAAGCATAAGCATCATGATACTCAATCAGCAAAGTCCCACAGCCGGACAACCTGATCCTAACTTATAACAAGGTTAGGTTACTTGGGACCAGACCCGTGAAGATCCAGGGTAGAATAGGTCTTCAGCAACCCATGCCTTCCGTATAAGGCAACTATGCTTGTCATTAGAGGCGACTAATGGGATCGGATGGTCAGGCTCGCTGACTAGGTTGATACATGTCATCGCATCGTTGCTCATGATGTCAATCATTGGATTGTCTGGTCCAGACTCGATTATTTACAGACTGCCATCATATAGCTGGAATATTGCTGAGAGTAGCATTAAACAACAAACAAACTTTGGACCATTTCTACCCCTCTGCTCAGAGGGATGACAATTGGTAATGGCGTGTTGGTCTTTGCTGCTGCACACACAGCCTCAGCTCAGCAGCTGTGGGTTTCACAGATGAGAATCCTCAGAAAATGCCTAAAAAAATTGTAATGTTTCAGCTAGACCATCAACAGTTAAAAGTGATTTACTGATAAGGTGTCTTAGATGTGAAAAGTTTTATTTTCAAAGGCGCCTATTTCCAAAACATTGCTGTGTGCGACCTTGGATCAAACCACCTCCACTCGAAACCCCAAATAATCAAAGATGCAATGTGGTATTATACTGGTGTCATTTATTGATGTTATAATCATTATCCTAAACCTAGACAATGAGGTACAGAATGGTTATTGCCAATTGATGATGTTAACTGTCCCACTTGAGATTTCCCCAGATAAACACAGCTCCTGTCGAGATGATTGTAGAGAAAGACCACATTCTTTAAATAATCCCTATCAAAAGTGTCACTCTATTGAACAACATAGTACAAGATAAAAACAAAGTAACACAAGGATACAAGAAACGAATATACATCCTATCAATCTTAATTACAAGTGCAGTCATCGTAATTTGAGAACCGCTTAATCCTTCATGTAATATGTAAATTAACTTCTAAAAATAACATGGTCTAGGGAAATCTCTTGAGCAGGTATTGAAACAAAAATAATCTCTGTACCAGCATGCATCAGATTTTCACTAAAATCTTAAGTGCTTCACTACTAAAAGAGCTACAGGGATGGAAGCACTGAAAATCAAACAAGACAATCTAGTTGCATATCGCAGGTGTGATATGCAATTTCAATATAGGTATAATCTATAAATAACAAAAATTTGAATGGTACACTTGATATCAGATTTTTGTAAAATCAGACAACAAAATCCAGATGACTAAGAATGTAGTACCCTTCAAATTATACTACTCATAAGAACTGAAAGAATACCCAACGTTTTTAAATGACGAAAGTTAATCTGCAATGGCTTTCACAGATTAACTAGAGTCATGTCATAAGGTGTTCTTAACTTCTATTGAGCAGTGTATTACACACTTACATGTACACTGTTACCAAGTGGTTCATTCAGCCTTTATCATGCAGACAATTTTAGAATACAAAAAATGTAGGAGGGGCTGTCTATTCACAGCAGTTAAGGATATCAAACTTACTTTGTTTTGTAAAACCTCAAATTAATAAAGATGTTTGTAAAACCAAATTTTTAAAGAAAGAAACATTTAAGCGAATCGACCTTTGACAAGATGACATTTTGAGAATCAGTTGGAAGAAACATTATGCAGTCTAAGGGTGAGATATCTCGGTGTAGCCTGATAATCGTCCCCTTCTCCCATAGACATGGAAGTACTTCTGTGGATGCTAAGTATGTGTGAACAGCTGACTGCCATGAAGTAACCAGGATCCTTCCATAACACAATCACATATACACAGCTAATTTGACAAATTTGATAATTACAGCATTTACAATAATCATTCCACTATACTGACCTGTTCCAAGTTGATTGAACAGAAACATAACTTGCATCATGACATGATGCTGCACTTAAAATATAGGATTTAAGCTGCAGTATATCATAGTAATATCGGAGTCTAAAAAATATTATTTCATACCAGTTAAACACACTAGATTAATATTGAGTATTTGCCAAACGAGATGGATTTTGTATATTTATCTTGCCTGCATTATTAAATTCCATAGTTTCCTATCAACCTCCCGTCACAATGCAAGGACTTATTCCCATCCATACTTGAAATGACACAAGGAAGAGCTTATGTTTTTTTATGTTCTTTCGGCAAATGGAATATCAATTTCACAGCACTTTTTTCCAACACTGAGTACAATGTACCATTGTCTCCTACTATCAAGACATCAATAGTTAAATAAATGTTGTATATTCTCTGCACAGTTTACAAATGAGGATTCTTTAAATATTTGTAAACAAAATCATTTCTGACTGAATAGCCATAACAAAGGAACACTACTCCAGGTAATAAATAATTCTATTTGTCTACAAACTAATCAACATGTAAATCTACAAATATAAACAGAATATCCCTATCTCATTTAAAAGACAATATCTTATTGAAACCTTGTTTTAACCAGATGATCAACTCCTGATAGCGTGGGTGAATAAAGGGGAGACAACTCTGTATGCCTGGCATTATATCGCATCACATGTTCAATATTCATCAGTACAATTAAAACCTGAGATTTCATTGATTTGTGGTAAAGTGTCAAATGTCTTTGAAAGATGAATATCATGTTGATACACTAATATTTTCATCTTACAAAGTTTTATTCAGTTTATAATTGAAACTTTATCACTGATCAGTCAGCTTACTTAATAAACTTAATTTTTTGAGTTAAAATAAAATAATTGAAAAATTAAAATAAGATAATTTCCCAAACATGTATGTGTATCTAACTTAAGCAATGAATGTGATGCTTCATAATTTTCTTGAATCAGATGACAGCTAAACAAATGTACCCAAACAATACTATGAAAATATACTTTGTAATGTAATACACTGTAAATGGAATAGCTACGGTATCCATGACATTTTCAGGATGATAAACGGGTCAACTATACAAATACTACTAAAAAAATGTTGAGGGTCACCCAATTCTTTCATATTACTAGAGTCATCATGACAGATTACCCACGGTAATATGAAAGAATTTGGTGATCCTTAACTATTTGTGAGTAGTTAACGATACCTAACTTACATAAAATCCATCCAAACATTTTTATCTCAAACTGATACACCTTTTGCTTCTTGGTGGGCAAATTCTTTGTGAGTAGTGTGTTTTTTTGTCATGATGGGCAACTCATTGTCATTTTGATATTAATAATTACCTTACTGAAAATACATGGTTCTTCCCCACGTCTGTATGAGTGAGTGAGTGAGTATGGTTTAACGCCGCTTTTAGCAATATTCCAGCAATATCACAGCGGGGGACACCAGATATGGGCTGCACACATTGTACCCATGTCGGGAATCGAACTCGGGTCTTCTGCGTGACCAGCGAACGCTTTAACCGCTAGGCTACCCGACCGCCCGACGTCTGTATGACAATTTGGGTTATCTGTGATCAAGTTACAGCCAGAAACACGGAACTCCAGATCATTGTACACTTACCTATTACTGTACTCAGAAGGCAATATAAGGATTATGTTAAACAAATAGGGGTGTCACGATACAGGTACCTCACGATACGATACGTATCTCGATACAGCAATACCAACTTTTTATGCGTAAATTTAGAAGCAAACTTTTTAATTACATATCACATTGACAATTATGTGTTCTAATCACTATCAGTAGATTATTTTGTAAAATAATAATACTTAGAAAAGGTTGATTCTGTTTATTCAAACAAGTTTAGACACTAACAAGTTTTCGTATGTGTCTAATCCAGGAAATTTGATGACCTTTCGATTCGAAAAGAAAAATCAATCGATACGCGAACAAATGGATACTGATTTCGATATAAATTTACATGTATCTCGTATCGTATCATGAGAATTATCTACCGTTGCATCGGAACAATCGGTGAATCGTGACATTCCTATAAACAAATATATTCATACTTCAAGATTCAGATTCAAACACATGTACTCCGTGATAAGGATGTCCGCTGGTAGGTTTTGTGTTCACAGCTCAATCGTGAAACAGAGTCATATGTAAGTCTGAATGAAACAATAATCATTATATCAAAAAGAAAGAATTAATTCCCATTTAAGAACAGGTTGTGTATTGCTCATATCAAAAGAGAATGGGAGTAGGGCTGCAAATTAATTTTAACAATGACGTCACTGAATAATAACGTTTTTGTGACATTTTGTGTTCTTAATGTTTCCTCAATGTGTTAAAACATGTTTTAAAAATAGATAACATTATTCACTGTCACGCAAACTGTTAACAGAGAATTATTTGCCGGCATACCTCCATAAAGTGTGAATTTGGCTTGGTTGGTATACCGTCTTTGACGGCCCACGGCCATATTTGCTTATATATTGGCTATTGAACGATCCAAATAAGCACCCATTCCTGTTAATTAATGTACATAAGACTTATTTATTCGTGTAAAATATGCATCCTTAAATATGGGAAATTAAATTCTGGAAAAATATATGTCGTACATAAACATTTCAGGCTGTCAGGATAAACCCCAAAATTTACGATCTTTCAACTCTGTTTTTTTTCACCAAAATAATATTCAAATAAGAACCCCCTATTTCTAATTTTGAGAGCGCCCTGGGCTCTTATTATGTCGAATATGGCAAGTGTACATAGTGCAATAGAAATGTACACTTCCATTTTCTAATTGAAATTTAGATTAGTCAAGACCAGCGAACATCCTTAAGTGTAATATTCTCAGGGAAATAATACCAGATGGATAGGCCATCACAAATCAGTTCTTAGTTTTAATCCACATTTTCTGAAATGTGAACGTTGGGAACAGGATGGCAGTGTTAGTCTTTTCCATTCTATTTTCCTGAAACAAATTGATACTAATTACGGTAAACAATGGAATCAAATGAGGTAGGATGGATCAGAAACTTTGGCAGGGAAGGACAAAAACTAACAATTAATTGTGATGGCCTAGGTTTCAACAACATATAGTCCAGGTAACACCACGGTCCAGAAGAAATAAGTGTAACTGACAAATGTGTGAACATAAAAAGCTTGGTGCATGCTGCCACACACATAGTACATCATTGGCTGCGGATTTACCAGCAGCCATACTGATAAATCAAAACTTAAAAACAATATTTAACGGACAAATAGGTATTTATAGTACCCCGTAGTTCATGGAGATGGATTTGACGAAATTAGGACAATCTGAATAATCATCAAATTTTGTTTGAATAAAAACAAAAAATATTTCCTCCAGGTGAATGTGTTGCTTATCTGAAAACTATACCAATAACAAGAAGTTGATATATATATATGTGACTAAAATATTTATTTAGTATTTTTATTTATTGAAATCCAATATCAACTAAATCCGAGGCAGACCCATCCCCCTTCTACCTAGACTGACACCAAATTCGCATTTCTATAAAGAAAAAGTACCCCAGTAAAACGTCTTCAGTTATCGCGTCATATCTACCACTAATGACTTGAGTTTTGTTATTGTATGAGGAAGAATTTCTTCTAGTTAGCAATTTCGAAAAAGTAGGTCAAAAAGTAGGTGACCTACATTATGTGTGAAAGACACAGTTTGCCTGTTAGCGAATACATTTCAACACTAGTACTATCAAAGTAGATATACAAGAACATAAATGATACTTCCATTTGAATTTTTATTACACAGCCAAACATTGAGAAAGTCTAGTTTTTCTCTTTGACCTTCACCTTCATTACCTTCAAAGTTTCACAAGTTATTCAATATAGGTAAATGACTTGGAAAGGGCTTGTTGCCGAAAAGACATATCTCAAAGAATTAAATTATACATAAACACATCTCACCCGTAACTTTTAACAGGGTCATCAGAAATCAAATCAGTTTGAGACATCCCCTTAACATGATGTATCAGTAAAAAACAGTATTTTTTTTATGTTATGTTGTTATAGTACAAGAACTCCAGAAGTGACCATGACTTTTGACATAAATAATAAATATGTAAAAAAATGTTCTATGAAAATCTAGTCCCCCAAAATCTTAACACTTGTGATTTCGAAATCAAGTGTGGTGGCGGTAACTGCAGGCAATTCCATGGAACTTAAAGCAGGACCACAATAATGCAATGCTTAGTTACATGAAAACACATTGGCCCTTGCTAGGCAGCTTAAAAGCAGCATGTACATTATACGACAACAGCCTGCAAGGCAGAGGTAGATACAATACATTAGTGGTGTCCGTTTGTACACAGACCAGCTGCAGGCTTCCACAATCAACACATCTCACACGTCTACTCCACCACTCACTTGGATGTAGTGCACGCTGCTGCTATCTATACACCAATACTTGAGAGCAGGAAGAAATTGGGATCAGCAGTGTTAACAATTCACTGCGATACTGGGAACCTTTGCTCCGATAGTATTTGAATCTAAGCACCCAAAATCTTGAACATTTCACATTAGGACAATGACAAGTATCAATTGACTTTCATGCTTAATTTTGAACTCTGGTCATTAACCACTAAATAACATAGGATTCATAAAAATAACAAGCAATTCACAATCTTAATCATTTCAGGATGAATAGACCCTTAACCATACTTGAAAAACATACCAATGACAATTGCTATTAATCTTTATCAAAATCCCCAGTGACATTTATTGAAAGTTAACGTATCCCTTCAATTGTTACTAGACAACAAAACTGAAAAAAGGATTTGACAAGCAGTACATAAGTTGGAGGATAGTTTCAGAAGCAATCAGCAATAAATTCAGTAAAAAGTTTGATAAATTATTTCTTATATATCTACATTTTTATTCTAAATCATAAAACAATTTTTTTCCTTCTCTCAAGTATTTCTGCACTTTTAGACATCAAATAATTGAAGAATTTGATTGGTACCATTGAATGAATGACCAATGTCTATGTGATGTTGGTTTCATTATGAAATCTGGTCAATGATAAGGAGGCTACGCAATGGTATCGTGTGCATAAATCACACCATGTCAAACACTTGGTCACCAAAACAAACAGCTTCAGAATATAGAAACCAAATATTGATAGAGTTGCACTGATTGCCTAAAAGAACCAGTGACAGTAAAGCCACATCTGATTGGTCTATGAAAATTCAAGACTAACTGCATTAACAAATTTGATTGGCTAATCAATGGCCAATCAAGACAACACATCATATCTACAAACCAATGTCCAGCACAAGTATAAAATCCAATGAGAAATGAAGTGAAGACACATGCACAATCATTATGTCTTGAAATATGTCTTCTGTACAATCATGTACTGACCACAGAATGAGAGAGAGGCATCCCCTCACACAACTTTGTCAGTGGTACAAATCTATTATGGAGGAGCTGAGTTTGTATTTGCATTGATACTCCCACTTCCTAAACAGACACCACCTCAAGAATCGGACTCGAGACGCCTGAAGGAAGTTCCAAGATGGCGTGTTGGCTTAACCATTTTTTCACGTGCTTTCTCACGGCCTTCTTCTTTATGGTCAAACTCACATTCATGAAGTTCAGGCAATCTGTGCAAGGGGCAAAATACAAGTCCTGAAAAAAAACAAAAAAACATTTTTAATCAAATGATGAGTGAGTGAGCAAGCCTTGTTTTTAGGCCACAGTTATTATTTTAGACAACGCATATTGTACCCAGCCGTTAGCCGTGACAAATGAATGCCTTGTCCAAAAGGCCATTCCCCCATCCATGAACAAATCAATTTTAACATCTAAATATGTACTGGTATGCAAAATGTCAACGCCTACAGACACTCCTAAACAGATCAAATATATTGACCTAAAATACTTGAATTGTGCCTTAGGGATAACTTGATTGGTATTAATCACTTAATATCAACATCAATTTTTATATCAAATTCATCATGTACCTGATGATTCACAAACACATGACACAATCCAAAACTTCAATTAGTTTTTGCAAACACTATTTCCCTATCTTTTAAAAAAAATATAATTTGTTGTGAAAGGTGAACTTACAAAGATTATATATGCGGTATTCGACGTAATAAGCTCCCCGCTCTAATAAGCGCCCAAGGCGATATTTGCTAATATATTGGCTAGTAAACAATCCCAATTAGCACCCCTTCCGATTGATCAATGTACACAAGACTTATTTATTCGCGTATAATACGCACTCGTGTGATATATGCACCTTAAATATGGGCAATTATATTCTGGAAAAATACATCTGTCATACATAAACATTTCAGGCTGTCAGCATAAACAACGAAATTAATCTTTCAACTCTGTTTTTTTTTCACCAAAATAATATTCTAATAAGAGACCCATATTTCTAATTTTGAGAGTGCCCTGGGTGCTTATTACATCGAATACAGTATATATATATAGAGTGATCTATTATTATTTGTATGTCTGCTTATAACGCCACACTCAATATTGAGTTAAATGATGGCGGCCTGTAAATGTCTGGACTAGACAAGTAATTCATGCCAAGACCAACGATCCAAGTCATGGAGGTACAATGCCACTCTATCAATGACCCATTCCATAAAGTCACCTCTTAAGACAAGGACCGCCTCTGTGGTCTAGTGGTAAAGCAACCACATGGAGAGCATAAGCTGTGTCGATCACCCAGCTGCGTCATACCAAAAGACATTACAAGATGGTACTTGTTGTTACCCTGTCTGGCGTTCGGCATTAAAGGGGTAAAACAAGGACTTGTCGGCTCGGAGTCAGTATACTGTGTCCGAGTCTGTGCTATGTTAAACTGCAGCATGGTGTCTAAGTGGGATAGCACTATAAACTCGGCATTAGTCCAGATTAGTACAAGCAGCCACGTCCCCCCCCCCCCCACACACACACACACATGCACGCATGCATGTCACTATAGAAGTGCAATAATCTTGGACGCGACATTAAACCCCATTTCACCTCCCCTCTGAAGACACAAATAGGTTGCTGGGGACTGATTCTTACAAGGAATCCCTACAGTATAAATAGGTGATCTGATAAGGCTAAAAAACATAATAGTCTTATTTCTCAGGCACCGCCCGCATCATCAGAAAGTCTGATGGACGTTTTGTTTTTATTTCCATTTACAAAAAATTAATCCTAATACTTAAAAAATGCGATCCCATATAGCACACAGTTACTTCCCTTTACATGCACTGCTTTACTGCGCATCTTGTGTTATGGTCATGGCGGCAATACGAGTTTGTATGCTTGTTTATGTAGGAAGGCTCTTTCTCAGGCTGATGGTACATAACTGTTTATTTGGTTACAAACTAGTTTGAACAATAAAAAAACAACAACAGAACAATAAAAAAATTTTTTTTTAAAAACCCAAAAAACACCTGCCTGCACCGCACTAAATTTTGAAAAGTCATTGCCTGAGAACCAATCCTTTTTTTTAAGCCTAATACAAAAAGAATTAAACTTTAAAATGTACATTACCGCATCTACATCTCCCAATAGCTCTCTGTGCCAGCTCCAGCTTGCAGCTACACTTGTAACACCTCTTCTTATTTTTCTGGACCATGTTTGGCTTTTTGGGCGATGACTCTGAATCATCTGATAAAACACTGTTATCTCTGCAAAACATAAGTTAGATATTATATCATTCACAAAACATAAAATTCAGCAACAAATATCTAGAAGCATCATAAACAGCCACTTGTATCATATGCATGTCAATGACCCTTTTCTGTTATGCTATATCGCATCTGGAATGCAAGCTATCAAAGATATGGACATTGTAGGTCAACCTCATAAATCAGTTAGGTGACTGTCGTTTTGAGTACATGTTCAACTAGGGTATGCAATGAAAAAAAGATAAGAACATATTGGGTTCGGCTACAAAGATATTCAAAAATAATGCCAATTTTCAAATTTCTTTCATGGGTTATCACACTGTTGTCCCAAATACATTTATGACTATGTTGCTAATTATATATAACAGAATACTGATATATGTATTGTTGCAATGTATATTGCAACACATAATCTCTGTATTGTTTCACTCCTGGGTTAAAGTGCAACAGTCAAATCAAGGATCAAAATTCACAAGGATATACCAGCATGTTACATCCTATCCAGATACTAACTATAATCCAGTTTTCTGCAAAATTGATCAACAAATGGCCAGTAATGTGTTATCCAAAATGGCTGCCCTGGCAGCCATATTACATTTTGTTTCTTGAAAAAAAACCAACAACAATGATGCATGATGACACACTACAAACAGGTCATGACTGAAAATAAACTTAAAACAGCAATCATAATGGTGTCGCTATACGCATATCTAAAGTAGATGCACATTGCAATATATGAGTCATGAGAGAGTGAGTGGGTTGGGTTTAACACCGGTTTTAACAGTATTCCAGTTATATCACGGCGTGTCAGCTTAACAATGCTTAATGTAGGAGGAAAGCCCGAAGTGATGCAGGTCTCAAGACGTTTACCACTTTGGTGAAACCTACGAGAACGAGTATGATGCTGACAAACCTAGAAACATAATCGAGGCAAACCGGGATTCAAACCCACAATCATAGGTTTCTGGTGTGCCCAAGGGACACAACTCTGCACAGCGAATCATGGCGCCTTAGATGACTTGGCCACCTGTGCCCCCATATGAGTTATGATTCAATATGTACAGAGATTCCTGACTTGAGCTGTTTTTGCTTGAAATTCAAGAGGTTGATGCTACTAACCAGTTCATGTTTAAATTGCAAGACAGGATAAGTTTGGGCTCGTTCTGACCAAGCTAATGGCATAATGCAATCAGTTTTGGTTTTTTGTTTCATTATAGAAAGACTAGTTCAATTAAATTTTTTTGAAATATTACTTTGAAAACTTATTATTTTGAAAACCGATGAAGAATTAATACATGAATGTATATTATTGGGTAATCGTATCATGCATCAGAGGTGTAAAGTACACATTGACAGATGTGAATATGTGATACATCAATACATATCAAATGCTATTTCTGTACCTTTTAGTACCCCTATTGGCTTCCAGTGATACATCAGAGCTGGACTGACTGGAACTGGACTCCTGTCCTTCCTGAGCGGTATGTTTTGTCTCACATTTCTGTGGGGACGTGCACTCTGACGGTGACTTTTTGTCTGAGGAAAGTTCACACTGTGCCGTACAACTACCAGTTGAGTCACTATGCTTGTCACACACATTTCCTTTGAAATTTGACAAGTCTTTTGGATTCTCTCCATTTGGTATTTGAAGCTCTTCTGATTTAGAGTTCTTTTTTGATAGGTTTTCTGGATTTGTCCGTGAGGAGTGGGGAGTGGAATCCATTGTGCTTCGTAAAGCAGAGCTTGGTTGGGGAACACTTGGCTTTCTCAAATCTGAAACATGAAATTGTTTCTGTTAAAGTTCAAATTTTCCATGCATGTCATCAATCGAGACGAAGTCTAGGCTTGTTATCATGAACATCAAGCAGTCACCATGGTCACCATAATGCATACTAGGGCTGTAACGGGTTACTCGGGTACTCGGGTCGGATGGGTACTGAGTAGGACCCGGGTTACCACAGGACTACCCGGACCCGTGGTTAGTCACGTGATATATTGTTTAATGACAAAAAGTATCTAAAACTATGTTTAAACTACAAGTCACTAATGTTCGCAGTTCTTTCTGACTACTACGCCCATTCCTTCTGACTTTTTTATGTTTGAATAAAAATAAAACGTCAGTCAACTTCAGCGTATACACCAGATTGTTTCATAAATGTATTTAAACACATTTTACCAGGGCTATGGTCAAACGTTTCCCAATCTGACAGTTTGTACCTACCTCTCGAGACCTACAGCGAGTACCCGGGTCGGGCAATAGGGAATGGGTACCCGGGTAGTAAATTTGGACTCATCCAAGCTGCAGTGCATACCATTGTTATATTACCCATAGGCAAAGGTTATTGGTGCAGTTATCCTAGGTAATTCTAACTGAGTATCATCCTCTCTGCTTCGTACTGATGGGATGTTTCATGGTAATTGCTGCATCATTCTCATAGTTTCGCTGTCATATCAACACATTGTCGCAAATAATTAAATAATGTCATTTGTATGACACATAGTTCCAACAGATTGCCTGAGATGATGTCTCGACTTGCATTATGTACAGGAAAACCTTCTCGCAACTTGTAACAATGATGAAAGTTCATGGCCAAGGCTTGCGAAATTAATACATGTGGGACAAAGAATCTGCAATTCCTTGTCTATTTCAGATAATTTTCTACATGTTACATCCAGGATACACCTGTCATGAGTAATATGTTGGTTGGTTGGTTTGTTTGTTGTTTTACGCCGCACTCAGCAATATTCCAGCTATATGACGGCGGCCTGTAAATAATTGAGTCTGGACCAGACAATCCAGTGATTCATATCATGAGCATCGATCCACGTAATTGGGATCGATGACATGTTTCAACCAAGTCAGCGAGCCTGACCACCCGATCCTGTTAGTCGCCTTTTACGACAAGCATAGTTGCCTTTTACGGCAAGCATGGGTTGCTGAAGACCTATTCTACACCGGATCTTCACGGGTCGAGTAATATGTCAATATATAATGTCAATATATAATGTCAATATATAATATCAATATATAAACACAATAGACAGACGGTAACTTGCATAACCAAGAGTATATATCCAAAACAGATTTGCCACATCATGTTTTGCATCAATACATCATTTATCTTATAAAACATCTCAAATAGTTGCAATTCATTTAAAGTCACCAAGATGAAGATATCTGCATTCAAGACTCAACTAATTGTAAAAGAGAAATTGCTGAAACTATTTCTCAAAAGTCTGACTACAGTAACAGTAACCAAACATCTAGCAACAAACACTGGCATGTCTTACACTCCCTCTGCAGACTCAACTCTCAGTTTACCTGGTCTCCTGAGTGTTATGGACCAATATTCATTCACACACACCTAGAAAATGTTCATTAACCAAACATGACCGCATTTACCTAACAAACACGAATCACACAGGACTGTGTATAGTCAGCTGTGATGAAAACATACTAATCGACATTCGAATATCAGTCAGTCCTTAGCCATGTTAACAACTCTGGTTGTACGATTAATGAATGAACAAAAGTGAGTGAGTTTGGTTTAACGCTGCTTTTAACATTATTCCAAACATATCGCAGCATGTCAGCTTAATGTGGGAGGAAAGCCCGAAGTGATGCAGGTCTCAGACATTTACCTCTTCGGTGAAACCCACAAGCGCAAGTATGGTGTTGACAAACCTAGAAACAATAGGGGCAAACCGGGATTCGAACACACAATCATAGGTTTCTGGCGTGCGAATGGGACGCAACTGCGCAGCGAATCACGGTGCCTTAGACGACTTGGCCACCCGTGCCCCCTGGTTGTACGATTAAAGTGAAGTTTTCATCCCTTCCAATTTGTAGTGAGTGAGTGAGTATGGTTTTACGCCCCTTTTAGCAATATTCCAGCAATATCACGGCGGGGGACACCAGAAATGGGCTTCACACATTGTACCCATGTCGGGAATCGAACCCTGGTATTCGGCGTGACGAGCGAATGCTTTAACCCCTAGGCTTCCCGACCACCCCTCCAATTTGTAACATACATACCACTTAAAAGAAGTTAAAGAACACGTTTCCTACTACAGTTAATCTGTCATGCGTTTAACTATAGTAAATGAAAGAATTAGTGTTCTTTAACTTCTTTTGAGTAGTATAGAGAGGCTTGGTGAGTCACCTAGGACTAGGTAATAGCTGTAATGAAACAATGAAACAACTTTGAATATCAGTCCCAGCCTTCATATGAAATACCTACCTACTGAAGAGCATAACCAGACACCACTGGTTGTGGGATTAAAGCAAGGCTACTCTTCCCTTCCAGTACACAGTCTGCCTTTCTATTGATCACAGTCACTGCTGGCAGACTAAGGCAGTGTTGACAGAGGCCTTAATAAACTGTCAAGATACTGCACACCTTTCAAGCCGCATACAAAATCAGGAAAGGGGTGGGGGAGGAAGTCGTGTGTGTCAGATTGGAAAGGGGTGGCTCAAGGGGGTAACAGGTTGTTCAAACACTCCTAGACTATCAGGATACAGTTGCCCAGCAAACCAACACAGGTATATACAGTGGTAGAAGTAGCCCATGGGAACAGTTCCCATGCATCATGATAGATTGTCAGATACATTGTTGCGGTGGTCACTGTTTGCTGAAGTCATTATAACACTGTCCATGCCTCAGTCAGTAAATGACATTGGGTTCAGGAGGTGGGACACTCACGTGAGGCTGGATGGCCACAATCAATGGTAAGTGATCTGGTGGGTGAGCTGAAGGAATAGAGCAGGAAGATTGATCCATGTGGCTGGATCCTGTCTACAGCTGCTCACCTCCATGCCATCTTCCTACAGCCAAGTAATGTTTCATGATTCACTTACCACACATAGATTAATAAGGCCTTTGTTTTTACTTGGTTTGCAAATTTTTTCTCTCAAAAACATATGTCAGTTGTCAAAAAAAGATTGCAAAACAATTTTTGGTCACTAACTAGTATATTTGCTGTGGTATAAACAAATTAACTACACAACCAGTTTTAGTACCATCATTGGCATTAAATTCCAGAACAGTAAGCATGGTGACAAGTATTACACATGTACTCTCTTTTAATAACATTTACGTTAAAAGTATCATTTCTGTTAATATACTAGTGAGGTGAGGTGAAATGGGGTTTAAGTCGTGTCCAAGATTATTGCACTTATATAGCGACGTGCATGCACGTGTATGTGTGTGTGTGTGTGTGTGGCTGCTTGTACTAGTCCGGACTGATGCCGATTTATAGTGCTAGCACACTGAGATACCATGCCGCAGTTTAACATGAATACCCCACTCAGACACAGTATACTGACTCCGAGCCGACCAGTCCTTGTTTTAGCCCCTTAATGCCGAGCGCCAGACAGGGTAACAACAAGTACCATCTTTTTACTGTACCGTCTTTCGGTATGACGTGGCTGGGGATCGAACCCGGACCTTCCGCTCTCCGGGTGGACACTCTACCATTAGACCACGGAGGCGGTCTAATAATATAACAGTGAAACTATCATGAATCATAACTCTTCAGTGAAATATATTCACAGATTTTATATGTATAAAACAATATTTTTTTCCATAATTATTAAATTTAGGGACTGCAGATCTGTAACCAAGTAACCATATTATGAAAAACACCGACGACTGGTCCTTCCAATTGGTTTTTATGTTTTATAACTGAATATACCTCAAAACTATCCCTTATTGGGACAAATACCTCCTAATTACTTTCAGTAAAATGATTTACCTAATTCAAACATTCTGGAATGTCTTAAACAAAAACCTTCTACACTAAACCATTGACCTCGTGGAACCGTAACCAAATATGACAGCATCGTGTTTCCAAAATGTATTATTCAAAGTGTGGAATCGTATACAAGTCTCACTTCACCAGCAGCTATAGATGTATGGTAATACCTTAACTTGATGCATTTCATTATAATGCAGATATGATTGTTCTGGACAAACACCAACATCTGTCCATATATCAATCATTTCCTGTGTCAACAACAGAAGGAATCGGCAGGACAGAGTGACACTTTATACGGCTTGGCTGTAGAGTTGAGCTGGATTTGACGACTTGAATACATAAAACATGTACAAGGAAATATAAACATTTAGCTGTGCACACACTCAATTTACCATTAGCGCATCTACAAATCTGAAAAATGTTGGGTGGGATGTATATTGTTTTTAATTAATACCGTATTCGACATAATATGCGCTCAGGGCGCTTTCAAAATTAGAAATAGGGTGGTCTTATTAGAATATTATTTTGGTGAAAAACAACAGAGTTGGAAAATCATACATTTCATGTTTTATGCTGACAGCCTGAAATGTTTGTATACGACAGATATATTTTTCCAGAATTTAATTTCCCATAATTAAGGATACATATAACACACATATTATATACGAATAAATAAGTCTTGTGTACATTGATCAATCGGAAGGGGTGCTAATTCGGATTGTTCTTTAGCCAATATATTAGCAAATATAGCCGTGGGCGCTCATTTGAGCGGGGCGCTTATTACATTGAATATGGTATTATATTTCTCTAACCTGTTCAAGGAATCTGTGGACATGAACTGTTGATGGGTGTGATGTTAAGTTTGAATGATTAATAGGACTATGCATATGGTGTATTTCATAACACAATGTCTGTAGGTTCTTTAGGGAATCTGGCAGTGAGTTAGTGAGTGAGTGAGTGAGTGAGTGAGTGAGTGAGTGAGTGTGAATGAGTGAGTGTGAGTGAGTGAGTGAGTGAGTGAGTGAGTGTGAGTGAGTGTGAGTGAGTGAGTGAGTGAGTGAGTGAGTGAGTGAGTGAGGTTTTATGCCGCTTTTGGCAATATTCCAGCAATATCATGGCGGGGGGGGGCACCAGAAATGAGATGGAAGTGAAAGTTAATGTGACTTTCTGAAATAGTGGCTATATGCAGTACATGTACAAAAAAGGAATGCTGAATACCTTGGGAATTGTCACCTTTGATACACAGGTTTGATATAGACTTGTGACATATAAGAGTGCCCACGTAACCACAGATCGACAGAAGCTGCAAACTTACACACGTCACTCTCGTTATTTGAACATCACTGGCCTCCTAGAATATCGTTAAACTTTGAGGATTTCTGTGACGGATTTGACGTGCTTATGGTAATGTCTTGTGTTAGGGTAAAAAACATGAAAACTCATTGAAGGCATGTATTCCTCCCCCACCTCGGCACAGCTGTATGTTTTAGAAAAAAAACCTGCAAACGATATTCCACAAACTACTGTATTCAATATGCATCGATTCTGACCCTGATCAGACCCAACGGTAGCCCAATGTTTTGTATACCAATGAGCCAGCCTTGGACCTGCACATGCTCTCACCAAGGGGATAGTTCTGTTGTCCACTAAATCATCGATGGCGCCTTTGATCTTGCCTCCAACTGTTCATGTAAAAATATGTTAATAAGCTGAACAACAGGTATATGTATCCTATCCATGAATCTAAGAGGCCCTATATTATCCAGGTAGTGGAATACTGCAGCTGATGAATAAGCTTAGTACGGATGATGCTGATCAGATGTACTTCCTGGCAGGCAATATGCTGCAACACACGCCATGAACTTCCTGCCTGACACTGGTGGCAATATCTAGGCAACAGATGTATCTGTATCGTACAACTGCACTTTCCACCTGGCCTAGTGACCACAGCAACATCAGGTGCGAGCATCTGGAACCTTTCACCACAGTAATGCAACAGCCACACATTTTCAGTAGATGTTATGTGGCAGCCAGTTACTCCAAGTGACCCTGTTGAAACAAGGACGTACCTCACCTGGGTGTATCTGTTTTTAAGTGGGGGCACGGGTGGCCCAGTCGTCTAAGGCGCCGCGATTTGCTGTGCAGAGTTGCGTTCCTTGGGCACCCCAGAAACCTATGATTGTGGGTTCGAATCCTGGTTTCTAGGTTTGTCAGCACCATACCCGTGCTCGTGGGTTTCACCGAAGTGGTAAATGTCTAAGACCTGCATAACTTCGGGCTTTCCCCCCACATTAAGCTGACACACCGCGATATAACTGGAATACTGTTAAAAGCGGCGCTATCCCAACTCACTCACTGTTTTTAAGTAAAAGGGACTCACAGTAATAATTCCACGGCATGAACATGGTGGTCCCAGGCTGGCAAGCTTCTTTCCCAAGAATTTAACTGATACATATCACTGCACATGTTCTAGAGCTGAAGCGGTACCCTAAGTTAGATGGGATTTCAATGTTAGATTGAAGAAAATCAACTGCTGACACTCTAAATTTTGTGTGTATTTCTTATCAGAACAAAAATGTCAGTAATGTGTTGGTTGGTTGGTTGGTTATTTTACGCCGCACTCAGCAATATCCCAGCTATAGGACGGTGATCTGTAAATAATGGAGTCTGGACCAGACAATCCAGTGGTTGATATCATGAGCATCGATCCACGCAATTGGGATACGATGACATGCATCAGTAATATGTAACCATGTTAACATGCAGTCTACAATTTTGATTCGTTTTTGCCGAGAAACACGTACACACTGTACCCATGTGGAGAATCAAATCCTGGCCACTGGCAAGTTTTGATTACCAGGCTACCCAACAACCAGAACAACCACCTGCCACATCCAGTTGGCAAGATGACACAATATACACATCTTCACTTTTCTGAAAAATGTTCCAACCAAAATCTCAATTGCTGATTATTTCATAAAACTTGACACTTTTCATAGAAACAGCTGTCCATGGACACGCAGCTTGGAAACTGTTCATGACAGTATTGATCACATTATTTGTTGGTAAATATGAAATATACACTAGAAATATCTTAATAAGTGGGGTTTTCCTAAAAATGAACAAGTATTACCCAGTAAGGATAACATGGCCTGCTGCTGACCTTCATTTGTTTCTTCCAATTGTTAATTTCTAGTAGGTTGAGATTCATTGAACCCAAACTCAGATCTCTGGTAAGCCACGTGGATGCATCTTTTTCTAGTGAAATGTGACGCCTTAGATGTCTGGGCCACCTGTGCCCACAATGGATTAAACACTCCTTACAGATAGCAATACTGTAGTGTGTTAAGTCATCCCAACTGATTGTCTGATCCAGGCTAAATACATATTTCATTCAATGCACAATTACAATAGGTTCACACAGTAGCCAGTGGATTAGTTACATCGTTTCTAATCAATAAGGACTTTGGTTCAATTCAAACATTAAATAGCTATCTAGTAATCCTGGTGATCTCCTACGCACACATAGTAATTGCATAATTACACAGATTCCCGAGAAGTCAGTAATTTACTATTTATCCTTATGATTAACAGCTGATTAAAGCATTTGACAATATTTGATGAACGATAAATCAAACATATTACCATGGTTACCAGATAACCATTTGTTACTGTCATTCCATTGTGGAGGAAAGTCACAATTATGAAAGCATGTTTATGGACAGAAATTCAGCTCCAGATATTACTTATTCTACTTAATAATTATCCAATTCGTTTATTTTTTTATCATGTCATATTAGCACACAGAAACTCCATTAATAAAATATATACAATAAATCCCATATTAAACATGCTAAACCTTTTGATGGCTTGTTCCTGCCCAGCTGCACTGTACAGCAACTATCTAAGTAGGAAAGTGTTTATCTTGAGTCTAGAGCAACAGGCCCTGGTATTACATGGGAGACCCCTGTCTGCAAGTTTCCCTGATCAAATTGACCCCGCTAGATGAGGAATGTGTTCCTTCACTCCAGTATCAAATCATCAAAATGAATGCTTGCAAATTCTATGCAGCTTGCTAGAAGGAATGAGCTGGAAAGCAAGCTAGCATGGTGAGTGAATACATTTCCAGTGGCCTGACAATAAAGTGGATGTCCCCCCAAGGTGGGGACTAAATTTAGCCAGATCTGAGGGCCCTGCATGCTAGAAAGATTGAGGTTAGACTTGACAACGTGACACAGATAGCAATGCCACTGACTAAACACAATGCCAGGCAGGCAGGCAGGCAGGCAGGCAGGCCGGCCAGCCGGCCTTCCAGCTAGGCGAACGTCTGCCTCTATCTCTCTACTAAACATTAGGCTAGACTGACTCTGTAGCC